TCATTCTATGTAAAAACTCTTGATTTTTTTTAAAAATAAAGAATCTGCTTGATTTTTAATCTTTTCAGATTAGATTAAAGTTGAAAGATTAGATAAATATATTTAACATTCTTTACACATTTCATGTCTAAGTAAACGTTACATAAATTTAACAGAAGGTCTGACTGGTGTAGATTTGAATGATCATATTGTTGATAACCCTTACGATTAACATTTAAACAATATACTCGTTGAATAAGTTAGTGGTTATCTGGACTAACTAGTAAAAGGTACTGGGTTCGATTCCCTGTATGGACGTCAACAGTGGGATACAGGTATACTTAGCTGACGAATCGTACATCCTAGATTCTACTACGATTCATCTATTCTTTAGAAGGGATCGACTGTTTTAAATGCTAGTAAAGTAACTGTGATTGATTTTTATTCACCAAACATTAAAGAAAATTGTGTATTGGAATACAGAAGTGCCAGTTTCGATTAAATTAATTTGCACAACCTTTATTCATTGTTCAGTACATGCAGATCATGCGTCATGTTTCTGAAAGTTTATTTCCGGAAGTTTTGGTAATATTTTATCTACAAGATATAGACTTAGATCAAAAGCTTTCTATCTATCAAATCTCGATACTTAACATTGAATGTGATTTATCTAGCTTCACCACTATGCATAATTTAGTTAATAGACTTTGCTGAATACTAGAAACTATAAATTGAATTTGGTTTCTATCTGATATCCCATGCTTGTTAGGATTTTCGTTTGATCTCGATTTTTCTATTGGGTGTTTGGTACGCTAAAAGAACTAATTTTTACTGGTTTACAAGTATGACAGTGTTTGCTTATAAAAATTGGGAAGGATGAAAACAATGATTTTTTAGTATTATTAGTTCACATAATTGAATAAATAGTGTAGTTCACTTAAGAATAGGGAATACTGCTTTAACGACACATTTATTCTCATACTCAACCTGATTCATATATCACTTAACAAAACTTGTAGACTGATATTCTCTCAAACAAAATGCTTTATCCAAAGAAAGAGGATATGTTTTAATTAAGTCTGAAGCGAATATTTTGGATGCTTATTGGATAACAATCGAAAATTAAGTTCAATAGCACTCAGTAGTTTCAGAATCGATAAAACAACTGTCAAGGTCTCCATTTGATTCTAAAGCTGTTGTTAGTCCATGATGAAAAATATTATGAAGTTTCTGAGATATTGGCTACTACGTAAAATTGCAATATTTTTTTAGGAATACTAATTAAAATACTTGCATATTTTACAAGTTTGGAGTCTAGATGAAGACTAATATAAACTTATTTATTTTTTATGTTTTAAGCTTGGTAATTCACTTACGGATGTCTCATCCATCCATTGTTACAAATTTATGCCTACTTCTGTGACACTAACAATCACTCCTGATATAACCAGACTGTTTTATTGATAGGAAACCAGTTATGTCCAAACACTAATTACTGATCAAAGTCTACTAATTATCGAATATAATTTAGACACCTAGTAAAGTAGCATAAGATAATCCCTTTCGATTTCAAGCACCATACGATGAATATTATTAAAATTGAGGTAATAGGTAGAAATGAAATTCCAGACGTGAGTTTCGTCTTTTTTTTCGAGACTCCTTGCCTGGATGCACAGAGATTTGAATACAGTCGCTATCGCTTTAAATATTAGAACGTTATCTACCAGCCTACAAATTCATGATAGCCTTCATTTATTCAAAATGTTAGGTTAGTTTGATCCCCTCAATGCACATTTATTCTTTGAAATAAACAGTATTTTACGAATTTCATTTTAAATCTTAAATTTTTATAGAAAGATAAGTCAGATAAAGTATTAAAGTTAAGCAAGGCTATCTGAGATCACAAGCGGGATAAAATAATCACTGATGACTTTAAAACCCCTAAGATTGTCTCTTTTGAGGTTATTTGCGTTCGTCGCCTTGAAGAAAAACATTCTACTTCTAGTATGATAAAGAAGATTCTAGGTATAAGAAAAGGCACGGATAATTTACAGCGTAGTTCAGTATATGTTTCGCACTATTTACTTGATTAGTTTTAAGAACATCGACAATAAACGGGATTCAGACTAAACTTGATGGAAGTACAAAACGTTTAACTTTGTGACAAATAGTATGCTTTTCATAATATGCACCTGGCTTCGTGCTGGACTGCATGTACCCTGGCTTGGTGGTTATTACCCTAGGCTCCAGTGGTTATTATTTTCCTGACTGGGGTACCTAGCCTGTCGTATACCCTGATGGTGTTCTCGTAACGTTCGTGTTGCCTGATCTGCCAAGGGCAATGGGACAGTGCATGATGCTATTGTTGTGTGCTAGGTTCAAAGAGAATTGTATGCTATATACATACAAATCTGCCCATTATTGTTCCTATTTGGCCCCCAAATGCCCTGGTATGGCCGAGAGTGGGGAGAGTCCGCTCTCCCTCTCAAAATGCTCTCACATGGCCACGAGTATATGGCCTCTGCCAAGGAAGTCCTACTCACTGCCTTCTCGTGGCAGGGGTGTTGTTTACGAAAATGAGAGGACGAAAAGCGAATGTCCGGCGCTTTAACTGGATTCCAAACCAATGGTGCACATGGGCTCCAGTATCCTGCGGGAACAAATGGCGTATGAACCAATCGTTGGTCACCGGCTACCATAGGACTGCATCTCCTTACGATGCTCCACTGCCTTGTGGGTCAGACCTTTGGGTCAAAGGCTCGGGGTGTGGCTCCCTAAGAAAACCACGTGCTTCGGTTTGGGCACCAGGGCAGTATCACAGCCCATACACAATTAAAATTTTGTGTGGCGCATATGTATTTGGTGCCCTCTTGTACCAATAGTTATGTATTCAAATAAATAAAATAAATAAATAGTATGCTTTTCATAATATACAATATGACTGAGGACACTCTAAAACAAGGGCGAGAGTAAGGTCACATGTGATGTCATTGTAATTTATGCTTCAATTTGAAAGGTTCTACTATTTATACAAATATGTGTTGTATAACTCTGTACCTGAAGCGAATAACTTGTTAACAGCTATTAAGTTTCCAAGTTCAACTTGCGTAAACAACGCTCTTTCCGTTAAATTTCTAGTGATCTTGAAAAGAATGCTTAAACCTGATGGAATTCATGTAAGCAGGGTGAAAATTGCCGAACGTAAGCCAATCCATTTTCTCTCACAAATACCATTGGCTGTTTCCTTATTCTATTAAATATACTTTCTTAGACATTTGTAATTTGTCTTGATCGCAATCTTAAATACCTGTAATAATTTGAGGAAATTCTAGACTTAAACATGCAATAGTTTTAGAATATCAAGTAGACTGATATGATTTGTTGCAAGGAAAGTTCAAGTTCTTCTGCATTTATTTGCATAATCATCACTTGTCTCCATTATAGAGGATTTACATTATTGGAATCCAAAGTAAGGATGACTGCAATTTCTTCTGATTCCAAAACCCAATCTATGTTGCTAGCTGAAATAATGACTCATGTACAATAGGGCATCCATGATGAAAACCGCAAGCGAGTGAGAAGAGAGATGAGACTCTAGGTAAATTTTTATCTCACAAGCAAGGAAATTATATTGGTAAACATCGTAGTATATTTAATATTGTAATAAATAAAGCACACAATAAGGATAGATATGAATTAGGTCGCACTGCCATATTACAAAGATCACAAAGGAATAGATGTATGCAAATGTCACAATAATACTAGTCTCGGCCAATCTAAACACAAACTGAGTTGCTCAATCTCTCAAGCATATGTTCCCACTGTAAATGATTCAGTTGAAATTCCTCTAATAAGTTGAAGCATAATTAGCTGCTGAATTATAACTCTTCATGGTTTAAGTAACAAAGTGACCTAAACTAAACCATTATTGAAAACACTGAACGAGTGTCCCTTGCTAATATGTGACTGCTCAGCATTGGGAATCCACTACCCCACTGAGAATCAAACCCAGGACCTTCACTCTCTCAGGTTAACACTTAGTTAGTCTTAAGCCTAATAAGCGAATAATCATCTCGAAGGACCCAATATGACCAAGATACATAACTTATGTCAGTTCTACTGAATTATAATTATCAGTGTAGTTTTAATTACATTACTGTTTGTTTGACGCTATGTTATCCTTGTTTGTCCCGATCAATTTCAGTTGTTCTACAACCTGATACAGATATTCACTATACACTTGCTAGTTTCACATTTACCAACTCCGGTTAACACATTTTATTGACAGCTGTACATTCATATAATATTTTTTAAATATTTACCTAACACTTGAACATCCCTCTAAAATATTACTGTTGATTTATAACTATAGAATCTGATAAGAATTCTTCAAAAAGAAAATTCTTAATTTATATCTTTATGCTTTGACATTAAGCGAATTTTTCAACCAATCTTCTTTTGACAGTCAAGTCAGTTTGTCTAGTCTGTTATTAGTGCTGATGATGTTACCCAGAATGATACTAAATGGTTATTAGTTGAATCATCTAGCTCAGTGAATACAATATTACAAAAACAAAATCTATGTGTAACGTGAGCTGATGCTTTGGCATAACGTATATGTACAGGTAATTGGCTTAATTTTGATTTGTAGTTAACAATGGAGTCCTCGATGTCGATTTCAATTTAATTTTGTCCAGTGATTATCACTTAGTTTTAGTTATAACTTGGTCTTAGAATTTCCACTTGTTTTCTTAGAAAAATATAATGAAATTATCTTCACATAGGAATGAAGTAAATTATCGTTTATAGACGGTAATATTCTACTAACTGAGTAAATGTAAATGTTATTTAGAGTGGGAAATTGAAATTTAATCTGTTTATAAATCATTACTTCATTAGAAAAAGTTTTCCATGTTAATTCTAAGTTGGGAGAAAAATATAGCTTATATTTCTGATAATTTGACCGAAAATGTCATATAGTTTAAAACTATATAGTAGTAGTAGTAGTAGTAGTAGTAATGGTTGTAATATCAGTTTTATATTCATATTGAATAGAGAGGGGTTTTGTGGATATTATAATAATTTTAATACTTGAATTCATGAGTCAATTGAAGCCTAACCATTATGAAAAACCTGGAAGCATTGGACGGCCATTTTATACTTATTGTGGGAATCCTCAACAGTGTGCATCCATGATCCTACTTCGTGTGATTCAACTGATAGGTCCTGGGTTCGAATCTCGCAAGGTGGGATTGTGGATGCACACTGCTGATGAGTCTCATAATAGGACGAGACGGTCGTCCAGTGCTTTCACATGTTCCTCGGTGTTCTAGCTTCAATTGACTCATGAATTCAACTATTAAAATTCATATTAAATAATGGAAATCAATGAAATTATTTAGCAGTTCATCAGCACAAATTACAAATTACATGTACATCATTAGTGTTTAAATGTAAAAATTGTATTACCTTTCATTGAAATAAACAAAAGCTTCAACTGATATTAATTACATCACAATATTTATTCAAGAAGTTTACATTTTAAATGATTTCGTGTACGAATCTTAAAATTACATACAAAGATTATTCGTTTGTTTGTTTGTTTTAAATTGTGTGTTCATCGTTATCTATTTATTTATTGAGAAAAAAATGGAAACATGGAAATATGGAGTGAATAAATTACAATAAATGAGTAATAGAATCATAAAATGCAATACATATCCGCATCAAATATGTTTGTCATGTTTCAAATTGTTTGTTAATATATTCGAATAAACATTACCTAATTTAACAGTAGTAGTATAGACTTCTTAATTATTATACAAAATGCAATAGGGAATAGATTATTGTTTTTATTAAAATTAGTAACTAATAAAGTTATTATAAGATTGTAATTCCGGCTATTCTTGAAATATTAAATGTAGTTTGTCTGTTAACACAGTTTACTTATTTAGTTTCATTTAAACAAAACATTAAAGATTCAATTGTCTCACAAATAAAATTCTCTTTATGCAAAAATAAAATTATTTTAATTTCATTACAATCAGTTCCGTCTATGAATTTAGATAAAGTTAAAACAAAAAAATCGAGGCATTTGTAGAAGAAAATGAAGCAATACTATATTTTATATTTAATAATTAAAATGCTCTATCATCCCAACGTGATTTACTCAAAGGCATACTTCTCTGTTTCCATTGGCTACCACCGGAAAACAATGGTGGTCTTCGATCCCTTTGAGTGACTACATGAAAACGCATAGGACTTTTGGGATTTTGTTCCGTTTGCTTCCGTTGATACGAATGTGATTTTACTTGTCGAAGAATACCACGTGGTGAAGACTGGTAATTTTTTGAATTTGGTTGAATTATTCTGTTAACGATATTTAACTGAGGTTGGTGTACAATACGACCAGGTCGTACATGCCATGTACTACTTATACGTGGCTTTCTTGAATTTATTGCATTTTGCGGTAATAAAGGAGAAACTGGTCGCATAGTTGTATGCAGAAATTCTGCTGGTGATTTACTTTGAATTGAAGTTTGCTTAGATGAACGAGAACCATATGTTGTGTATGACGGACTGGATCTGAAAAGGTTATTAGTAGCAGTTCGTCTTATAGTTGATGAACTTTTAGTCTGTGGATAGGTATATGCAAATCGCCAAGGTAATTGGGAATTATCTCGATTAACAGGAAGTCTTCCATCACGTCGTTGATAAATATTATTTTGTGAGTAAACCATAGGATTTGTCTGTTGTATAGTTGATGAATGTTTCACATGTTGATATGACGGATTATAATTAAAAGGTCGAGTAGATTGATAATTTTCAGTCATTTCAGAACTACGCATATCACCAAAATAACGAATTCTTCCGGTGCCCCATGCTGGTGGAAATAAATAACGATTACCATGAAATGGTTGATATTGCTGTAACATTTCGTTTTTACCGTAATAAACTGATGATGGAGATGATGATGATGAGGAAGATGAGTGAGATGGTATTTGACTGATTAACACTTGTGAATCGATTTCATGCTTCGGTAATTTAAAATCGTATGGAATCATTTCATATTGTGCTTGAAAACCTTTACCACCAATTGTATCGTCGCTAACAAACTGAAGATACAGTTGTCCAGAATTTGACAAAAATGTATTCGGTAACTTTGACAAGAAAAAAATAATATAAAGAAAAGACGGATAGTTTCATTTATTTTCATAAGATAGATAATAACCAGCATAACAAACAAAATTGGAATGCTGAATAGGTGTTTTGTATTGTTAGTGTTTTCCGCAATTGCAGAAACATTTAAATGCTTGACAAAATTTCTTGAAGTAGATCTACTGAAATATGGTATTTACGAAATACTTCATTGCTGTAACTATGCAGTAATTTTATCTGCAAATCTATTCAGGATCGTCAATTCATTGAATAGATATTCAAGCTATTAAAACGTTGGTATTGGATATACTGGATGCTATATGGAAAATGTCGGCTGGTAATAAATGAAAGAAATTAATTCAGTATTTATTGTTGTACCTTACATTGTTGGATCTTACCACTGAAAACCAAAAAGGATTAGACTTCGATTTCGCCCTAGTATAGGACTTCTCATCATTCATGACTCTACCAAAAAACAAATCTTAGACCTGTAGGCTTCAGTACCAGTAACGAACTTTTGCATCACTAAGCTGTTATCCAATGGCTTATATTTATAACTACAGCTAATTAGTGATATTGCGTGACCATTGGGATATTCAATTTTTAAAAAAATTCCACAAAATGGTACCAAAATCGTTACAACCACCACCACTACCACTAGTTCATCAACATAATCAGTTTAATTTTATCCAAATTTATTGTTTTAATAGTAGTAGGAACCATTATTTCAATTGTTTCACAAATTGATCATTTTCTGCATATATTTCATTTTCATCTCAATATTATTATTGACAAGTTTAATGTTACTATTTATAATCATGGTAATAATAATAATAGTAATAATAATAATAATTTTCTAAATATTCGAAACAAGCACTCATTTGACAACTAAGCTAATTTTTTTAGCATTCTCTCTTACAATATTTATTACTGTTGGTAAAGTTAGGCAGGTAGATTCCGTTGATTATTTTTCCCAACTAATCGTTACATTTTAACTGGTGACAGGAAGTACCCCTAATAGAGCGTATTATTGTTACCATTATCAAAAAACCCCCATTCGCATACTACTAAGAAAAACTACGATTATAGTATTAATTGTATTAACAGGTTGACAAATGGGAGCTATTTATAATTTCATAGATTTATTATAATTATTTATTTATTTTTCGTCTTTAGTTTCTGTGCAGTTTACATTGATTACCATTGGAGATTGAACATAAAAATCGTCACTTTTTAAGTGTGTGAAGTAAATAATTGTCAATACTATTTCAGATTTTAAAAAAGTCGTTTGTTTACTTGTTTTTTTTGTGTGTGTTTCTGTCTTAGATCCTACTAAAAACAAACTTTTGATCTGAACACATGAACAGTATGGTTAGTAAACTATTGAATTTATTATTCAAGCCATTTCGGGATTCAATACTAATGTGCGTGTGTGTGATTGAGACATTTAAATATAGTAGAGATTATTTGTCTAGTCAAATAAAATTATCACAATCCGAGCAATTCATTTAGATTATATTTGTAGACGTTGACAGAAATCATATGTTTTATGGGGAAGAATTATTTTTAGCAGTGATTTGACAGTAGTCAAATTTATCCACAGAATCGATCATAGCAACTAAGATCAATTAACTTAGTAATCTGTTGGTCAAATCGATTAAACCATTAATATATTTTCTGAAAAAAAGTGTATATTTTACAACATAATAATTTTCAACTAGGTGAAAATCTTGAGAAAGCAAAAATTATATAGTCTGGGAGAATGGTTACGGAATGATAATGGTTTTGAATGATTTTCCATTAAAATTTATGATAATTGATGTTTCGGCTGTTTAGATAAATCATAGCAGGGGTAATCAATGTACATCTCTAAATGGTTGATATTCTCATTTATTTTCTATAGAAAATAAACGGATAAGCATTTTGATTTCTCTGCGTGTGTGTGTGCATTTAATTGTTTGTGTACATGTATGTAAGCTTGTGTACACGTATTAGTACCCATCTGAAATAATAAAACTTTTTCCTTTATTTAAAATAAATTCTCTGATTTTGCATATACGTGAATATCTTGGGTGTGTGTAGGTTTACACTAATGTATTGAAAGAACAGTGATAACAACGAAAAGTTTAATAGAATTTATGTTTAGACAACTTGTCTAAATAATATCAACAAACAGTCAAATTATACAAATCCTTAGTATGTATATATAGGATACATGTTCAACAAAATAATATCATCTCTCATAGTGTTTCTGAAATGTTAAACAAAGTCATTTATGGTAGTAATAATAATAATAGTAGTAGTATACCGCCACCAGTCCGAAGTAGAATGCCTGAGAGTAGAAGGTTAAGAAGATTAAAATGAAGAGAAGAGAGAAGGGAACTGAAAGCAATCAGAATAAAACAAGGATGAAGGAACAGTAAAGCTTGTAAGAGACAATTCAAAGAAGATTTACAAATGATGTATTTGATGTATGATTTTCACATTTTACCATACCACCAAGTGATTATGCATCAAACAATAAATTGGTCTCCCCCACCTGAGTGTTCATTCACGACAGTAGTAATAGTCTTTGTTTCACTGTATTTACAATACACTTGAGTATTCCATGCAGATAATGTATTAGAATTATATGAAAAGCCAACAGAACTAGATACATTAAAGTGGGAATAGAAGAAAGCTCAGTATATCATCACTGCATTCATCCTTATAACTAAATAAAGTAATTAAAAAAACCCATCTTATTTTATTTTTGTTTTATAAACATGACAAATTCATATTTTTTTCTGTTTTCTGGTTATTATTATTATTATTATTATTATTATTATCACCTCCATCATCATTCAAGAGTAGTGATTCCATTGTTAAAATCCATTCACATTATTATTTGTTCATTTTCATAAATTTGATGTAGAAAGTTACTAAATTAAGAATATAAATATATATTGTTAATTAGTATATTAGACTTTTTCATCATTTTACTTTTGTCTAATTTCCAAACTCATTTCGAACCAAAGTAGTTATATATGTTGGGGTTAGTTAAATCTAAAGGCGGGTTCCTATTGCAAAATTATATTAATTGGAGAATTACTGAAGGTGATGGAGCTTTGAACAGATTATTCGTTCTACTTCAGAATTTCTAAGTAATATTTGCTTAACACATCACCAGGGATTGAGCCTGGTACCTTCAAATCCCATGGTGCGTGTGATGCCTTCATACTACTAGGTTGGTTTCCAAAAGTCAATTTTTCCGGGTGTAATTAGTTTATAATACAGTGCAATGATCATACGATGTTATCGATGAGAAACTGCCTTACATCCTACATGATTCATACTCGCCAGTCATAGTTTCTTACTAAAAATTCAACCCATTTTGAAGTTACTTCATGATAAGCAAATGTTTATTACCCATCAGACATTAGTTCATGTAGAATCATGTGGAAAAAAAGAAACGTTATAGTGATCAAGAATAACAACTTTTTATCGATCGTATTTTCTGTTAAGAAAATGTTAGGACGGGGAAATTCTTTCTAAATCTAATGATAGGAAAACTCATCAATGATATAAATAAATAATATATTTGTAATATCCCACTGAGTAGAAAATTAGATTTTCTGACGTTTCGTGACTTAGTGTAAGTGTTCCGTTGTACTATTTAAACTTGGATTAATTTTAATTTGGTTATTTATTCTCTGAAGAAGTGACTTACACTAAGCCACGAAACGTCAGAAAATCTAATTTTCTACTCATTGGGATATTACAAATATATTATTTATTTATAACAATCAACCCAATGCTCAATTTATTCGAAATTATCAAATCAAACCTTGGTAATGATATCATCAATGATATATTATCATTATTACTACATATGCTGTGACGAGTATTAATTTAGTTCGGATGGGAACATGTGTACACCATTATGCTCTTGTCTTTCAAGGATTTAAACAGAGAAATATTTTTAGCATTGGTAAACTGTCTTGTGAATGGAAAGCACGCTGCAAATGAAATGAAAGAAATTCCTCCTAATTATAATTTCAATTTTTTATCATGCTAAAATGAAATTTACTTGTTATCTCATTGGGTTTTATCACGACTTCCATCTGAATCATAGAATTTTATGAAAACACTAGATACATAAAAGCATCAATTCACACTGAAATTACCATAAGTAGTAAACTGAGGAAAAAAAACCATAAAAAAGGATTTAAGTTTTTAATCACTTTATTTCAGGTTATTTAAATAAAGATTTACGACATCGTATTTCGTTTATTTTTGTTGTTATATTTGAATGAAATTCACTAGTTGTATCAGGTGTCTATAAATGTGACTGAATTGCTTTAGTACTACTTGTGAGTAGCTAAAGTTTATTTTGCAAATTTATTAGGGATTATTACTGTTTGAAAGAACAATTATTGTCATTCATTATCACTGTTAAGTTCTACGGTTGTAAATTCAAGAACATACTATGAGACACCGAAAATTTGGATTTTGGTGGTAATTAGTACACATGAAAATGACTAGATGACAAAATTACAATCCGTTATCGTATAGATGTTTTATGAAGATTAGTTTGACTTGTAGGTGGTATTCGTCAACAGATGGAGTACCACTGAAAACCAAAGAGAACTAGGCGGGTGTTTCATTCTAGTATTGCAATCCCCAACAGCGTTCACAAAATACTCTGCCACGGTTATAAACCAGGACGATTACTACCTACACAAAGCATCTGTATCAATATTATAACCATGAACTTGATTGAGTCTAAAATGAATTCCTGAAGTTCCAGTGGAGACTCGGGACTAGTGGAGTTCAAAAATATCAAGAACGAAATAATCATCATCAATAACCTGAGAAGTTGGTTGTGACATATCATGAACTGGTTAAAGTTAGAAATATGAATGACAACCCAGTGGTCTAATGGTTAAATGCTCATAGTAAAACATTGGATGTACACTGCAAAGGAATCCCCCATTAGAATGATGTTACTGTTTAGTTCTCTTTGGCGAACAATTCTGTTTTACCTGGAGTCAGTCCATGATCGTTACCGCCTACAGTAAGCTACAGGTAAGACTATAATATAGTATAAGTAAAAAGTTAATTTAGGTATGAATTAATCTTAGGTTAGAAACAAATGTTATTTATTGAGTGAGCTGTAATCGACTGAATCAACTTAAAAAAGAATAACAATAAGTTAAGAGAAGTGTCATAAGAATTTACTTGTGATGTCCAAAATAATATCGCAAATAAGATTAGTATTACGTTAAGTAAGATATAAAATTCAGTATGAATATTTCACCGAAGAGAAAAACTGGAAGTGAGTAGAGCTATAAACAAGAGTGTTCTAAAGTAATAATATAAAGATAGAGTGTTCAGTTCAGTTAGAAATCGCATTCATGAACAAATACAATATCAATTTAGAGGATATAATTTTCTTAACCCTTCCTGTATGATCTAACTTTATCGGTGATACATTTTGCGAGTATTTGTTTCTAGCATTCGAAACAATCTACGTGAAATTCACTATTTTCAACATGAAAACAACTTTTGTTCAAATGTGTTATTCACACTCGCCTCCGTATTGATGAACAAATTTTCATCCCTTCCCCTTTTGCACTGCTCAAACCTATCACCCAATAATATTAATAATTTTAAAAACAGTATAGTCAGTTATTTATTGTTTCAGGACAGATTTAAGGGCCAATAATTTGTACAGTGACTGTCATTTTATGAAGAATGAATCCTAGTAACCACGCTATCACCGGTTTAAAATGAAGTTCGAATGCAGTTGTAGTCAGAGATGATTTGTTACTTAACATACTATATCTTTATATAATTGGGTAGAAGAGGCATTCACCTAGACAAACTTAAGCCAAAGACTATAATTTAAAAAATTATGGCTATACCCTCAAAAATTATTGTTAAAATGGAAAAAACCACGGTAGTTTTAATCATAGCCGGAAAAAAAGTGGATGCATAAGAAAAGACGTAAATATGGCTAGTAACTCTTCAAAAAAACATTTTCCAAAAAATGCATATTCACTTACAGTTCTTCCACAAAAACCACCCAGAAGTTTTCCTTTAGGATCACCCCCATCGAAAACTCGAAGATAGTCATACCTGAATAATACGATGAGGTTGGCAAACATGATATAATTTCATTACGATTACAAAGAAACAAATAAACAAGAATGAATAATAAATGTTAAAGATAATTTTAAGAGTTTCTAAAATAGGAGTTTCAGCTTTTAACTAATTTATAGACAAATTATTTCTGTACCTTCATTCATGTTGCTTAAGAGTAAAATGTTCATTTATACCTAATGATAAGTATATATATATATATAATGGATCACTTAATTCACCACCCACAGATAATTTAAAACTAGTTTGGGATACAGACATCAAAATTCTAACATAAAACGTATTGTATATTTTACTAAAATACTGGGCAGTCGGTGGGACAAAATATAAACACTAGAAATCTTTTCATAGATAGCCAGTAGTCTTTCTGCTTGAGGTTGATTATCTGAATGGGTTGAAATACTCTCGACTCTATATCAAATCAGTAGTAATTTTACGGAGAATTGAGTAAGATCTGATCGATGCTATTAACTTACTTACTTACGCCTGTTACTCCCAATGAAGCATAGGCCGCTGACCAGCATTCTCCAACCCACTCTGTCCTGAGCCTTCTTTTCTAGTTCCATCCAATTCTTGTTCATTTTTCTCATGTCTATCTCTATTTCTCGGCGTAATGTATTCTTTGGTCTTCCTCTCCTCCTTCGACCTTGAGGATTCCATGTGAGGGCTTGTCTTGTGACGCAGTTCGGTGCTTTCCTCAATATGTGTCCTATCCACTTCCAGCGCTTCTTCCTGATTTCTTCCTCCACTGGGATCTCATTTGTTCTCTCCCACAGTAGATTGTTGCTAATAGTGTCCGGCCAGCGGATCTGAAGTATTTTGCGTAGACAACTGTTAATAAACACTTGTATCTTTTGGATGATGGATTTCGTAGTTTTCCAGGTTTCCGCCCCATACAGTAGAACTGTCTTGACATTTGTATTGAAAATTCTGGCTTTGATGTCGGTTGCCAATTGTTTTGAGTTCCAGATATTCTTCAGTTGTAAATATGCTGCTCTTGCTTTGCTAATCCGCGCCTTCACATCTGCATCGGATCCACCGTGTTCATCGATGATACTGCCCAAATATGTAAAGGTTTTTACATCTTCCAAAGCTTCTCCATCAATTGTGATTGGATTGTTGCATGCTGTGTTGTATCGGAGAATCTTGCTTTTCCCTTTGTGTATATTGAGACCTATTGCTGCTGAGGCTGCAGCTACACTGGTTGTCTTCTCCTGCATTTGTTGTTGCGTATGCGATAGAAGAGCCAGATCATCTGCGAAGTCTAGATCATCCAATTGCATCCTAGCTGTCCACTGTATCCCGTGCTTCCCTTCAGATGTTGACGTCTTCATGATCCAGTCTATCACCAGGAGAAAGAGAAAGGGTGAGAGTAAGCAACCTTGCCTGACACCGGTCTTTACTTCGATCGAGTATGTCAACTGTCCTCCATGAACGATTTTGCAGTTTAATCCATCGTAGGAATTTCGTATGATATTGAATATCTTCTGAGGCACGCCGTAGTGTCGAAGAAGCTTCCATAGGGTTGTTCTGTCTACGCTATCAAATGCTTTGTCGTAGTCAATGAAGTTGATGTAAAGTGATGAATTCCATTCAATTGATTGTTCCACAATGATCCTTAGAGTTGCGATTTGGTCTGTGCACGATCTATCCTTACGGAATCCTGCCTGTTGGTCGCGAAGTTGTACGTCTACGGAGTCCTTCATCCTGTTTAACAATACCCCGTTGAAGACTTTTCCTGGTATTGAGAGAAGAGTGATTCTTCTGTAGTTGTCACAGTTGCTGAGATCGCCTTTCTTTGGTATTTTGACTAGAAGTCCTTCTTTCCAGTCTTTTGGTACCTGCTCCTCATCCCAGGTCTTTCTGAAGAGAGTTTGGAGTATCCTTGCAGTTGCCGCTACGTCTGCTTTCAGTGCCTCTGCTGGAATGCTGTCTAGTCCTGCTGCTTTTCCACTCTTGATTTGTCTGATAGCCATGCTAACTTCTTCAATTGTTGGTGGGCCAACATCGATTGGGAGGTCCGTGAGTGCTGCTTCAATGTTGAGTGGGTTCAGTGGGGCTGGTCGATTCAAGAGTTCTTTGAAGTGTTCTACCCACCTGTTTCGTTGTTCTTCAATGTTGGTGATTACTTTGCCTTTCTTGTTTTTCACTGGTCGTTCTGATTTACGGTGATTTCCAGAGAGTTTCTTTGTTGTTTCATACAGTTGTCTCATGTTTCCTTCTCTGGCAGCCTTTTCCGCCGTCATTGCTAAATCTTCCACATATTTACGTTTGTCACTTCTGATGCTCCTCTTCACTTGCTTGTTTATTTCTGTGTATTCAGCCTGTGTCTTGGCTTTTTCTGCTCTTGTTCGACTGGTATTGATTGCTGTCTTCTTGTTCCTCCTTTCTTGAATCTTATCTAGTGTATCGATCGTGTCCAATCCTTGTAATGGTGCTTCTTTTGGACCAGAACCTCATGACATGTTGAAGTGATTGCCTCTTTTATCTATTTCCAGTTGCTCTCCATAGTAGTTCCTTCTCCATTGAGTAGATCATGAAAGGCCTGGAACTTATTGCTGAGGGTTATCTTGAATTTATTGAGTTTGTCATTATCTCGAAGAAGAGCCGTATTAAACTTTTGTGATATTGTCCGCCCCGTTGTCCAGTGCTTCTTGAGTTTTAATTTCATCTTGGCGACTAGCAAGTAATGATCTGATTCTATATCAGCTCCTCTCTTGATTCCCACGTCCTCCATCGTCTTCCTGAACTTTTTGTTGATGCAGATATGGTCAATTTGGTTTTGCGTAGTGTGATCCGGTGAAGTCCATGTGGTTTTGTGTATGCGTTTATGTGGGAATATAGTTTATTGAAGGCACATAGATTTGCAAACTTCTCACCATTTTCATTCATTTCTCCCAGTCCGTGTCGTCCCATGATCTCTTCATATCCAGTGTTGTCAATTCTAACCTTGACATTTAGGTCTCCCATCAGAATGGTCAGGTCTTTTGTTGGGCACTTCTCGACGATTGACTGCAGCCTATCGTAGAATTAATCTTTAGCGTCTTCATTGTAGTCGTTAGTAGGCGCGTAGCATTGGATGACGTTCATTGTAATGCCCTTTTTCTTTGTTTCGAAGGAGGCTTTGATGATCCTTGGTCCATGAGATTCCCATCCTATAAGTGCATTTTGTGCTTGTTTGGACAGCATCAATGCAACTCCTTGTATATGTGGGGCATTTTCTTGTTCATGTCCGGAGTATAACAGCAGCTCCCCTGAAGCTAGTCGTTGTTGTCCAACTTGCGTCCAATGTGTTTCACTGATCCCAAGCACCTCTAAATTGTATCTCCTCATTTCCGCAGCAATTTGGAAAACTCTCCCAGTCTCCCACATTGAACGAGCATTCCATGTACCTAAATAAATGGTTTTTCTGGTTGTCAGAAGGGGCATTTGCCTCGTGACTTCCGAAGAAACTCGGCTTTCATCATGAGGCGTCATAATTCTTCTAAACGAAGACCTCCTGACTCCCAGGGCAGAGTTTAAATGGTTTGAATAAAATTTTCTGGTTAGCGTTTTTTTAGCGAGTTAGTTTTCTACGGGATGGGGTCGCTAACCCCATGCCCATGCTATTAACAGAAGCTGAATATAGAAAATATTTGAAAATTCCGAGAGACCTCACCATTTGTTATGGATAGTTTAATCAGGATACATATCTCTTCTGTGACGACAGATTAAGTGTCATTTATAGATCTTCATAATTTCATGGTATTGAATAAATATTGATGAACAAATACAAGTCACTACTTTCTATCTATCTCTCTGAATTGTTTAAGTTCGAAGTACATTAAGGCAACATCGCTTCTAGATCTCCTAAAACATCTCAATATACTTTATTGTCATTCCTGAAAATAGTGACTTGTTTATTATTTTCAATAGGAAGAGATCCTCTGTTATGTGAACATAAAACAGAAGGATATCTTTCCGCTGAGGTATGTGACACAACTTATGAGAGGATTGTGATACTGTCCTGGGAATGTCATTTGGACTTTAATTTGAAGGCTTTTTCGAAAGACAGTGAAGTACCTTCAGAAGATGTACTTTTCTTGTAGCGGATGGCAAGCGCATGTTCATACTCCATTCATTCCTCTACAAATGTGGAATATATGTGCATGGTTTGTGATCAGGGTCATAAAACTCCTTTGGAATGTTAGCATTCGGTAATACCGTCTGAGGATCAGATACCAATTTTCATCCCATATTTTGTGGAAACATACAAGTCATATGAAGTCAGCGAGTAAGAATTTCATAGAGTATATTGAAGGCAAGAGAGAGAGAGAAAGAGCAGTTGTTATGTCTTGTGTCCTCTGGCTAACATCATGTGTCAAGTCACCAATAAGCATCCTAATCCTAATTTGATCTATATCGTGCATACTTTTTCCTCGATAGCCTAGTGTTTCGAGGTTTATCAATTACACAATCAGCCAGCACTGTTAACCTAGAGCCGACGCAGTTAAGTCCTTGCTGGTTCATCATTTGCAAGTTGCTATCTGGGATCTGTCTTAAGTTCAAAAGTCAGCAACCAGCTTCTACTATATCTTTATTTCAAACAGACGTGGTTGATATACAAACATACTGGACAGCATCACATCATAAAATAGAAGATAATAACTGTATATAAACAAACCAAAGTGACTGTGAATAGGAGAGACTGTAAATAATAGACTGGGAAATTGGGGAAAGTAAGTTGTATGATAGTTTATGGATGAACTGAAAGCTTATGATAAATGGAATGCATAAACATAGTAATCTAGTTGATAAGTAGTTATTCGACAAAATTATAATCAATAATAATTCGGCAAATTAGTACCAAGTTTTATGATATTCATTCCGCCATAGCAGAAGTCATCGCTTTTACTCAATCTGTTCAGGGTATTTGGGAGAAGCCGGGTTGTTTGCCCACTACAGTCAGAGACATCATTCCTGTACTATCCCCATTGTAAATAATCACTAGAATAGATAATTTTTGTTCACGATTAGTAAACTTACGTGCATAGTGTTTCTTCTTCTACTTCAAAATAAAGAAATCTCAGGAGAACAGTATGATTATCTAATTTTGGTGTAATTGTCCAGTAACACTGTTGATTTGATTCGTAATCGAGATCGCCAAACTTAGCATGTGAATAAATTGTTTGCGGAACACTGTCAGCAGTTAGATGACCACCACAAACTTTAGGAGAAAGTTATTAAGAAAATCAATACATACTTCTGATATATAAATACTCACCAAACACAAAAATTTGCATTTCTAAAATCTTATTCCTAGTCTAAAAATCTCATACCATTATTTGTTAAGGTGTTAAGGACAGTATAAATTCTAGATAAGCTGATTTCTTTTAATTTTTTAAGATTTGGGTCGTGATGTGCTTTCTGAGTTGGGTGATTTTGTTGTGATGCTTTTATTACCGTTCTGAACTGTATCATCAGCACTTGATTCCTACATGGATGATTTGTTTACTTAAACAGACAATAAAAGACTTACAGTTAAACCGCGCACATCATACGATACGTCACAAGCATAAATCTTCACTGTTTTAATATCTAAACTATTTTCAGACTCAGTTATCTTGATGACTGCTAACTTAAAGTAGTCACGGTGTATTAACCGAACATATGGGCCTAAAATATATTGACAAGTGAGGTTGATAACACAGTGTCGGAGTGATCATTACCTGTGAATCGAAAGAATATAAACAATAAGTGACAATCAGAGACAAGAAAATAGAAATTTCATCATGATACGATCGAAGCAATCGGTTCGTATTTAGGGTTATATGGTTTTGGCATCTCTTGACCTTACGATCTTGGTAAACTTGTTTTCATACAAAGAGTCAATGTCGCTATTCAGTGTTATCTTCAAAACTAACCCAGGTTGATTCGAAATGTAATCAGATACCCGCACCACAAAAATCTATAGAAATAATCAACAGTACTCATATTAGTAACATTTTCTGTGATCCTTAAGTAGCAATCTGTCAGTATTTTTCTTTATTTGCATCTCTTCGACCATATTCGTACTTATTGTTTGGTAACGAAATGGGCTATGTCTAGCTACCTTTAGACATATCACAATAAAGTTATTTGAAGATAAATGTCTTCAGATATGATAAATTATTGTATAACATTTATCTGCGTTTTTACTGATAAACTACCACTGATTAACAATTATCAACCTAGAAACATGTCACGTTAAGATCGATTTAGGCTCATTTTGTTCCCAAGTCTCAAAACTCTCCAAAGCCATCCTGTCGATTAAATCTTGAAATTATGAATGCTATATATAGTTATAACATAGTTATTACATGTACATTATCGACGCAAGCACAGGATAGGAAAGATGTGAGCTAATTTTTAGTTCTTATTAATCGCACAGTGAAGAATAATTTAAAAATGACTGGATATGTTAGATACTCTAGTTTTATATTTGTAAATAAAATTAACTCTAAGTTTAATTGCGCCAAACAACAAGGTGTAGATTATATTATGTCCTGGAATGGGAATCCTCAGCTGTAGGCAAATGTAGCCCCGGCAGGGATCAAACATATAACATTAAGGCTTAAGGGATAGTAATTAACCTTCAGACCACTAAGTTGGCGTTCAGTAGTTCATATTTCTAACTCTAATAATCACTACTGTATTTCTTAATAAAATATCAAAACTGACTTGTAGTATGTTGAGCTCGAAATCCTTTACGTTGTACAGATGAATCAGAATTAAATGTAAGCAACAACTGATTCTGTGAAGAAATAATTGGGCCAGGTTTTCGACTACCACAGTATTGACCAAGAAAAGCGGAACTATTTGTTGGTCCATCATAAGCTATAACTTGATCATATGTACATTGTTGATGTGACTCAAGTTCAAAGTCGGCAAATATCTACAATACAATTATATTTAAAAGTAAATAAGTAAATCTACTAAGAATCAATAACTCTTGGCCATAAACTATGGTTGATGAACTGCTTAAATAAACTTTTCAAGTCAGTCTGATGATCTTATCCTAATACTGATGATAAATGTTTATTGATAGTGATGCTTTCAGTCATATACTTGAAAAATATCTGTTAACTTCTTACATAATACAATAGTGTTTCTTGTCTGACATCAATGCATTTTTCTGTGTATCACGGCCTTTTTACTCATTATGCTAAACACTAAACCAGATAGTCGGATTTCACAGTACAACCATCAGACTACTACATAATTTGAATGCAATAAAAGGATCAAAATGATTTCGTTACAATAACTGAAGGTAATTAAAGTTGATTAAATGTAATGGAGGTGCAAAATTAAATGAAGTAATGTCATGAATAATTATGAATAAAATCATGGGGATATGAGACATAAGTAATGGGAGAGGGGGACTACAAAATGAAAAAAAATAATAGATTAAGGCCAAGGGAACTATTATATATTGAGCCCATGAATGATAAGAGCTTCTGTTATTTTAAGGAGTTGTATGTAAAGAAGTCTGGGTAGATTTGTACGAACTGTATACATAACCATAAAATCAATCAGTGGATCGGTAGAATGATCAGAGTCAATTTGATACTCAAGGATGGAACGTCTAACTGCTTACCTCTCACACTTGTAGAACCACGCTGGGAAATATTCTATTATCCGAGTTGAAAGCAAGCATTGGCTATGGCATATGTACTCGGCTCTACAAGAGCAGATGAACTGGCGAATGTACATGAAGGCGACCAGATGAGGAAACTTGTCCTTTACGGTTACAGAAAACAAGTCTCCACTAATGAACGTTATTTTTATTGCTGCCGTTAGCCTATTTTTAGTTACATCAGATGTTTGGTCACCTTTGAATTCCAGGTTCATATAAAGGTAGTTTTTAGGGACAGAAGAACCGGATTTCTTGTCCCAACATCTTTTTTTTCATTTTTTTCTATGAAGCAGCTTGGATATCGGTGTTTTGCTAGAGTTTTCCTAAGGGACGCGAGTTTTTCGTCAATGCATTCCGTACTATATTTTGATCCTCTTACTGCATTCACATTATGATTCATTGCTAACTTATTAATTTTATTGCTATCTAATAGTTTATACCTCACAACCTTATCATGAATATCACATACAGTTCTATGGTAAAATGAGGTTAATTATACTAAGACAAATAGTTGTTTAAAAAAATGACCACATACAACTTTCACTCGATGACCAGGTGTTACAGTGATTTTCCAATGACAATTTTGCTTCACAGGATATTCATTTGGCCAATTTGGAGTGATAATCTCCCCATCAGGTGAAGATATATCTTGCTGACATCCAGTTTTAATGTCTAGTTAAACAAAAACAATGATCCATCCAGGTACGTATCATCATACTACATAAGGTAAAAACTATGACAAGAGAATTTTTCTGTTAATTTTCACTTACAACTTTAAAGAAAGTTTTGTTAAAGCGTTATTCAGTGAAAGAATATGATGTGGCTAAATATACAAAGAAACGTTTATATTACACAGTATTTACAAATTAATTTCCCAACATGGTCTCAGCTAAACGCATTTTACCCGTTAGTTGTCACTTTTTGAGATACAAACTTCTTATCCCATTTTCAAAGTTATTTCAAACACATTTATACACACTAGCTGTTTACTTGAATTCATTAAATCTCTTAAACAAGGTTTTTCATTTAGATTGGTTTTTCTTGGGGGGTGGGTGAATAAGAAGCTGTCTGAGTTGATTTAAACTATTTCGCTGATTAGTTCAAATGAAAAATATTAATTAAAATTCGAAGTTCATGTATAATGATAGTATAGTCATGGGTGAACTGATCGTTAATGATCAGAGAAGATCCGGTGATCTCTTTTACTGAATAATAAAAAAACACACTTAGAAATATATTTCATATAAAAGCAAAGCTCAGCATTTATTGATAAGTAATTACAATGACAGTAGGAAAAAAACATTTATTTCTCATCAAAACCTATGCAGTTTTCATGATATACAAGCTAATCTTAAACACATTTCAGAAAAATGCAAACGAGATAACTAAATACCTTATTTAATTGTACTACTTTGAATGTACGCTATACTCAGACAAATTATTCAAATAATAATGGTCTCTATTATTTGTGGATAAAGGGGGAATCCAGGACGATCATCTCATTCTACTTGGGACTTATCAATTGGATGTTGATACTAGGGTACAAACCCAGTTTCACTAAGCTACTAAGAGATTTGTGTAACTCATTACAAAAGATGTCGGATGCTACATATCACTTTAGATATAAGCAGAAATACAGCTATAATTACCTTGTGTATGGGTTTAGTCCCCTTTAAAATAACTGTCAACAATGAAATTGTTATTGAGTTCATTAAAGTTGACGTACTGGTATCTTTATAGCTACATAATAAAATAGTAATATTACGATTACGAAATAAGTTGCTTTCGGTCATTAAGTGTTCCCTCTAAATTATATGCTAATTTTATATCACATTAAGAATAGAAGATACTCGTAAGCTACTAGTATTTAACCACAGATGCCTTAGAAATATTGCTCGCATCTGCTGGGGTCACCGGGTAAGTAATAGTGAGGTTAGACGTAGGGTATTAGGGAACGACGGTAAATCAGTTGATGAGGTTGTGAATTCCCATCACCCGAAATGGTTGGGCCACGTGTTGCGTATGCCTGAACACCGATTACCACGACGCTCAATACAGACTAGTGTTGTGGATGGTTGGAAAAAAGTTAGGAGCGGCTAAACCAAAACGTGGCATCAGCGCTTGAAATCACTAACTTCTGGTTTGAGCCATGTTGGTAGATGCAGACTGCCTGGTTGGGGTCCGCGTGACTATCGTAACCAATGGTTGGAGACTCTTGGTGACATGGCTTAGAATCGATCACAGTGGTGTATGTGTATACACTCTGTACTCCCTCAAACTATGAGATTAAAATCGCTTCATATCTTTATTTCTACGAACTAATTCTTTCTTCCTGTACTATCTCCTTATATGCAATCTTTATTTTATATATTACCACCACTGAATGAGTTGGGTGTTTATCTTATCGTGCTAATGAGGTATGGCAACTTGGACGGATGTATATATGTGTCTGGTCCTACGCTGTAGCTGAATGATTGACTTTGCATCACACTGTTGTTCGCAGTTATTGCATTTTGTCTTATTTATTAAGTTACAATTATTCAAGACTTTTACATTATAACCAAAACTTAGTTACCGCTTATTCCAGATGTTTAGTGATTTGATTCTTCAAATCGGCATATGTTGAAGAAGCGAGGATAATTTTAAAATATTTGCAAATTGAATGATGATTTTGATAATTTATCACCAATATTTGTGACATGATATCCATATTCACCAGAAACGGATAAAAAGACCAATGCTTAGTAGCTGATTTAATAAAAATTCGATAAATATGATTCTCAACATTAGATAGTCGGAATAATGCTACAAACTTATTACCAACATCTGTTGAAATTTTAATTAAGCATCTTCTTTCGACAAATACCTTTTTGATGGTAAATAATTTTAGAAAAACAACTATTAGTAGAACTCTATTACCTAGCCGGCCGCTGTATCTATCAAGCTCAGTGAATTTTACGATATCAATTAAAACAGATTCTCAAAAAGAAAATGTGAAATCTGCACCTATTCTATCAGACTAATCATTGTTATTGATATGAGTAAATTGAAGAAATTATTCACATATGGTATTTATTTTAATCATAGTATCTTGTTAGTTAATAAAGAGGATTCAATATAAACTATTAGATGATTACTGAGTAGTTGTGATCGGTGGAATTCAAACATATCGGGAATGAAACACATGTTACCAACCACATTGAGTGATTTGCATAATAAATTGGTAATTGATTGAACTTAAGATTTTACCATGGGGTTCTGAATCACTGGTTCTAATGGTTAGGTGTCCGTTGAGAAATCTGATTTTCCTGGATTCAATACCTGACGAGTGAGTGGATGAGCATTGCTAAGGAGAGAAACTAAACCATTAAATTTCAGTCTAGTGGCTCATCGGTATGATGTTCACTCTGAGATCTTAGAGTTTTAAACTAAACCTTGTATGGAGTTGTTGGTACAGAATGGTGAAGTATCTTAAACTAAGATAAAATTATTGTCTATTGTTCCTTGCATTCCCAGAATTCTGAGATTGATGCTAATTGAAGACGAAAATCAGTCTTAAATTATTCGTCAAATAATTTGGGAACGCAGATGAAAATAAGTAAAAACGATTAGAAAATGGGAATCACTCATAAAAAAGATAATTTAACAATTAACTAGTACAAACATATGATCATTTAATAGTGGTAGTGATAATAAACAGTTTATCATCACTGATGATGACCAAATCATGAAACACACTTATACACACACTTTTAATTCAATGTAACATTAGGAATCTGAACTATATATATTATCAGGAATCATATCACGCAATTCAATGAACCCCAATTACTTGACAACTTAAAATTAAACCGATCACTTTTCATATTACAAAGATAAAAAATAATTATACTAATCGTAAAATGATAATCTTATTCATATTGTTGATATGAATTGAAAAAAATATCAGATAAGTATCAAAAATGCAAATAAACTCATTAATATTTGTCTATTGTTTAGCTTAATTTTGTCGCCAACGATGAGATAATTTAAACAAAAAGCTATTGAACTGTACAATGTTTCAATCTAATAATAATAACAACAATAATAAACGTAATGATAGTTGTATTCTTGTTTAAAATAATAATCACACATACAGTAGATTAATAATGAATATCAATTGTGTGAAATATGTGTGGCCTTTTATAAAAGTTTTGGTAAAAAATGGAATACATGTAGAGTGTTAAACTGATGAATTTGTACCTTAATGAGAGTAGAGTAGCATGATCTGTAATATCATTTAGCAAATTTCCAAAATATAGAAAAGATAACTTAAAGAAGGCCATATATACAGAATTGAGTTTCTATAATCAATCGTACAATGAAGAAGACATAATTGGTTGATCGGGAGTTTTTGCGACCATTAATTCTAATGTTCGGGACTCTAACTCTCCTAGGCGCAATCATGTGCGTTAATATGTTTGTGGTATGGTTGAAAAAGATACCAATGGTATTGGTTGTGGTCAAAATGCCCAGTCAGTCGACAAGATTAGGGAAGCATTTAAAGCTCTCTCTAGATATACCATCAAGGATACATGTGGCAGACTTAAGATCCAGATTGAGACAATAGTGGATGCTGAGAACGACCTCTCTGTCCAGTTCTCTTATTATCATTTTGATTAAAATGTTGTTTTGGTATTTTTTTCAAAACACTTCACTTTTACTGAGATACTGACTTGTTCACTTTTTGAAGAAAATCAAATTTATACCAGACACCATGTACAATAGAAAAATTGTTCAAAACTGTACATTGTATACAAGCTTTAGCGATATTGGCCTCAAGGAAAACCATATTGTTTCATGTTGATGCATCAATATTACCCATTATTACGATGTAAAGTATTTGAAGATATGGTTGTCTTTATTAGGATTCTATCAAAATCATATTATACTTCGCATCGTTAAATATAGAAAAGACTCATTGTTCCGCTGAGACAAAGTAAATCAATACGAAACAAAACTCTCAGATTCAAATGTATGAATGGAGTGAGTTATTAAAAATTAAGTAGGGATTAGACAGTCGTTTTTTGATCAATAAAAAAATTAGTGATTTGTTGATTAGGGAGAGAGGATGAAAGCTTCAAACATGAAGGTGAACGATCTTAGATTAAAACGTTTAGTGTTTGGAAAATAAATAGTCACTAATCTGTTTTGTGTTCAATCTTATATAAATAGATATTTAGTTTCCAATAATATCTCAGGCCCATAAACAGTAGTTATATTACTTGTTAATATAACTTATTAATTAAGTTCTTTACAAACAATAAAGTCCAAATCAAAGACATTTTATCAGACCATATCGTTCATCTAGGAATTTAGTTATAAAATGATAATACACTACTTTAAACCAGATGAAACCCATGAACGCTTTAAAAACATCTTAAAAAGTCAATGAAATCAGTAATTTGTCTGTGTTAAATGAAGCAGAAACCTGACTAGAAAGGTAGAAAAATAATACATTCATTTTCAAACGTGAAGTTATATTCATAAAACATAGGAGGGTTACATGAATGATATATGGAATAATAATTTATGGATTTTTACTTTTTTGATTTGAAGTAGCCTTTGAAGTAAATGTTTTGAACTTAAATATGCAGTACGTTGAAGAGTAACTTCGTTTTTCATAACTTTTAATTCAGTATGGCTCAAGCCATATTCCACTGACGATTTTTCGATTTCTAAAATGTCATATTTAAGCTGTACTCGCTGAATGAGAATCAATTAATCTTGTTTACAGAAATCTTAGAACACGTTTTCCAACAAAGAAATATACACTGATTGATGGCTGGGCATCCTTGTAGAAGGGGTTGGTTGACGAGTACCGAAATGCACGATACATGGATTCAAGGTCTATAGACGATTAGCTCTAACCACCTAGCTATCTAAACATAGCGAACTCAACATTCAGTCATCTAATATAGTGGCTACATTGCAACGTAACTGATAGAATTCGATCAAGGCTAAGAACTGGAGAAGTTTCACATTGATCAGTGATTGATCGTAGTGAATACTCCAATCATGATGTACGGATATTTCGAATCTGATGGTTCCGTTTTAACGCCTCTGATTTTGATACTAATTGATTCAAATCTCACAATTACTTGCTGTTGAAGAATATCATCTAACACGAAACATACATTAATGAACTGTTGCTGATTATTTGAAAAAACCTAACCTCTAAAAGATGCAGTGAAAAAATTCATTATCACTCAAAGGTGTGGTGCTGATATTGAAAATTCATCTTCCATTTTTTCTAAGCTGGATCATTTAAGATAGATATTTTCGTTCAAAATGTACTTAGAGTACGCATATATTTCTCAACGAAATAAAAAAATTTCAGTCGCTACCAGAAATGTGTTTAAAGTGAAAAATAACTATTTACTGTAGCAAACTACTTACAATTAATATAGTAACATCCACAAACTAAAGATAGGAATTTATAAAGACACAGTATAAAGTAATGTTGAGTTTTCTATGGTGAGCAGTTTTATGGCAAAACTTTCTTTGTCAATCTGAACTAAGTGAACAATACCTACCTGGACTAGAAATTAACATTTTAGAATTATCCATTAAATAAAATATCAGTTCAACCTGATTACCATATTATTGTTTGTTGCTCATAAAGACTTTAGGCTTTTGAATTCCTTTCGAATGCTGTGTCCTTATTGATCGGATATATGTATACCAATTGTCAAGTGGTTTACTTGCCACTTGTTGAGTGAATCTAAAATGTTTATTTCCAGTCTAGATAGATACCGATGTTCTATGCTTCTCAATATTACTGAATACATCCACCTCGCTATAATTTAAAACATTGAATAAAACCTACTCTCTTTGCATTCATATCTGCCGTAAAGATTAAAACCCGGTCGACAAGCGCAATGGTATGATCCTATTGTATTTCTACATAAATGTTGACAACCTCCGTTATTATCAGCACATTCATCTCGATCAGTAAAGAATACAGCTCTGAAGCCAGTACGCTGTACAGATGTATCTGAATAAAATTCAATACTGAGTTCATTTGTATGGGATGTAATAGGCTCTGGTATTTGATCACCACAAAATGTGCCAATTTTCTGTTGGTTATCTGTTGAGCCATTGTAAACATTGATAAAATCATATCGACATGCCCGCTAGGCAAGGAAAAGAACAAGTGTAAATCGAGCTGTCATTGTTAGTTTTAACCAAAACGACAGTCAAATAAAAACGACGAATTTACATTTAATACAGTCTATGTATTTAATTCGGGATATTTGTAAACAAAGAAAAACGGTAGAACGTTTTATCCTAACACACTTAGTCAACACAAGCTGTAAGACCGACACATATGTTACATCCAAAGTTATATATCTAATTCCGTCTAGCTTGTTCTTTTTTTATCCAGATTTCGCCTCCCATACAAAGTGGAAGCCACTGGAATTTACCTAAATAAACCTATTCTTTACATTGAGAAAACATTTCTCTCTTCTCCGGTCATCTAACTGATTTTGAACTTATCCTTTCATTTTTCCATCTGTATTCAAACTCTTGCTTTAATTTCTTACTTTATTCATCTTTATTCCTATGTAATCATTTTGAGTAACTAACTGATTCGCAAAACTTAGACTTCAAACTTTACTTCTTAAACCCAGAACTATTTGTAAATCTGCCTAAGTGATAACTCAATTTTATAAACCGTTTTCTTATTATTAATGTTGAGTTACAAAGGCTTCGTTGTCGATTTTTGTATATAATATATATTCCACTTTGGGACATATTAGCATTGTTCATTCTTGACTCATCTCAATATCTGACCAAAGGACTTTAATTATGGTAGAAACAATAAAGAGCAGTACAGAAATTCAATGTCAAATTACTTTTGAAAAATTTTAAATTCCATCAATTCGTAATAGGTTACACAATCGTTTTCTAAATGGTGCTTTATTACGTAATATTTAAAGTAATCACTTCTCTTTAGAACAACTAATGGAAATAACGTTTTGTGCATAGAACTAGTAAAAAACTAGCTTCGTAACCACGTGGTGGATTAAATAACGGTGTTCATTTGTCTAATTCAAATCATTCTATTTGATATGCTAAAGAACGGAGAAATATGGTATTATACAATGTCTCGGAAACCTTTAACAAAGAGACAGAACCGAATGAAAATAGAACACAAAGATTTCACGAATATGCCTAGTAAAAGTTTTATAACATTTTCGATTGGATAATTTTGTTATTTATTTATGATGGGGATTTCACCTTTGTAAGTCTCACTTAAAATAAAGTAATTTATATGTTCGAATATCATTCATTTCATAGAATATTTTAATTAGCACATTTTTAACCTAAATTCATCGCCAGTGTGGTTTCAATAACAAGCACTAGATCAAAGTGTCCTCGGTTGTTTTGAATTAACATCTAATATGTGATTTTGTATTGAATCTCAAAGGAATCAGCAAACTGCTTTGGTATAAAAGATTGTAATAGGCAATTTAATCGATGAAACGAATCATTCAATAAAAAATTTTCTTAGTTTACAAATGAAAACATTAGGACATAAGATATATCTGTAAGTTAACTCACATTATGACCTTCTAAATTAAAATGTGTAAAATTAAGAAAAATTGTCGTTTTAGGTGGTGCCAAAATTTTCCAGATACAATTTTTCTTAGGTGGATATAAATCAGGAAACAAAGGTGTTTGAATAGTACCATTCGATTCATTGATTACCCCTCCACATGCATCTAATTTATAGAAAATAATGTCACTTGTATAATCAATTAACGAATATAGTAACAATAGCATCATGATATTTTATAATGTTATGTAGTTGAAATAAGAAAATAACCTAATCCCGACTGAACTTTGAAATCAGTTCTATAACTTTCTACCTAATACATTTTGTGAAATGTAACCGGAGATAATTCAAAATTTTCACATTTCCAAAACATCATTCAAGTTGTACATAGCTGAAAATTAATGTCTCAACGAAACCAAGATCGACGTGGAATCCAGTAGTAGTTGATTTTGAACATCTAGATGTATAAAATATTCTTGATAAAAAAATTCCTGGTCCTTTTTAATGAAAAAGAAAGATTAAGTCATTTCGATGTGTTTCTTTTCATGAATATCTCAAATAGTAGGTTTCAATCAGTGTTTTCATGCATCATTATGCAATACTATAAAAATACAATCAATTACTGTAGCATTCCTAGGTAAATACTAAACTGTTTTACTCTCATACATTATATTTAATCAGAATACTCTTTAAAGTGAAATGGAATCAGTTCATTTAATTTATTCCAACTCGAAATTCAGCAGTGACCAGTGGAGTTCAACCGGGTCTGTTGTGAGATAGTAGCTCACTGATGACAATGATGGATGTGTCACTCAATTTCGTGGATTGGTTGAAGTTAGACATTAAAACTGTTGGATGCCGGCTCAGTGGTCTAGTGGTTAAGCGCCCGCCCGCGAGACTAGGTTCGAATCCCGCGAGACGGGATCGTGGATGAGCACTGCTGAGGAGTCTCGTACTAAGACGAAACGGGTTTCCCATAGTGGTCTAGCTTCAATTGACTCATGATCTCAACTATTGAAACTACTATGATATCCACAAAAAACCCTTCTAAACTTATGAATCCTTTATATTTCTGTGTAATCCCCGTCTTACGCTGGCGAAATGACACAACACAACTATCTATGAATGAAAAAAAGGGGAAATGCTACTTATTTAGACATAAGTAGTATATGATGCATGTTAGGAACGTAATGTCTGGCAGCAGAAAATGGGGGAAGATCGAGAAAGGAAGAGCGGAGACACAATGCAATTTGTATGAAAACGCATGAACAATGAAATCTGATGTTTGCAACAGGAACAGTCAAGTTTGATATGATGGATTGATATTTTGCAAATTAACAATTTAATATATGGTTCTCAAATTTTATTGAGATGCTCTGTAATTATGTGCCTAAATACATTCGATTGTCCCCATTGGTGTTGTTGCTCACTGCAATATGAGGAATAAAAGTTTGGGAAAGTAGAGTGATAAAGATTATACGTATGTGCAAATGATGTTCACTGTGATAGCAAGTTCACTACTAAATCTGGAAATAGGGAACACAATTTATGATATTAAATATTTGACGATTGAACACAGTTAATAATAGGCAATTTTTGCAAACAACTTTTATGATAAGTAAACCCGATCATACAATACTTCACTTTATAGATATAGAAAACGACTGAACTGTAATGTGAAATCAAATAAATCATTAAATTTCGTTCATTACATAAATGAAATTTATTTTTAGTCATTTGATTGGGTCATTCTAATTACCTTCACAACGTTTCCCATCTGCATGTAGTTCATAACCAATCTCACATTGACATCGATAACCTCCAAGTGTATTGACACAAGTATGTGAACAACCATGTTTCATAGTTTTGCACTCGTCAAATTCTATGAGAAATCAAACAAAATAATTATTATTCTTAACTATTAAAGTTCTGTTGCACATTGACTTATGGCTTTTTATTGTAACAAAGAGTAACTTAAAAGTTCTAAGTTGAATAATAAATTGGAGTATCATCATAACCCAGAGGATTCAGAGGATAGAAAATTATATCGATTTTGAAGATCTAATCTCTTTAAAGGAGAAAAAATTTTTTTCTGAATGTATAGGTATATTATATTGTATGTAAAATAAAAGTGGTGGTACTATATAAAGTTTGATTAACATATAGATAGTGGCTTTCTTCCATTATTAAAGAGTAGGTTCAAACAGTTCTTACTATCATTTACCAAAAGTACACGATTACAGTCTAAAAAATATTTTATCGACAAGTTAACAGAGTCACTATGAGTAGCCCATTGGAGACAGTCCTGGAAGATATATTCATGTCAAAACTGGAACAAACAAAAATGAATCCGATAAGTGATTAAAAAAACTCTACGTCATGTATGCTAACATGAGAATTCTTGCTCACTAAATTTGCTGAAGTCGATAAAAATCTAGCCCTTTAACCACTTAGCTTTAAAAGTGATGCAACAACTAGGATGATAAATTTTAAAATAAAGGCTTCACTTAAAAGGACTGGTTCACCTAATAAACAGGTTCCGTAGTATTAAACAAGTCCCTTATTGAGAATGACAAATTGCTTAAAATCCTACCTCTGTCACCTTCACTTCTATTTACCTGTTCATATGCTCATGCCAGAGCACTTTAAATGGGAGAATAGGAAGAAGGGTGCTCGTTCGCAACTCCCAGAATACCCTACAAAAACTAAGATTAAAAGGGTTAATGTGTTATCAACATTACCATTGCCCCTCATCTGCTTGATAGTGAACAAAATGTTGACATTTTAAAATTGTGCAAAATAATTGAAACCCAAACAAATAATTTGCTTCGTTACTCTCTGGTCATCACTATTAAAATGTTGAAATTTATTGTATATACTCAAATGAATGTAGTTGTAAATTTTATTACCCTGATAACTTTTATTTTTCATTATCCAATGACGTAATATCTTATTTCATGTTCCCAAAAATAAATTTCTTCCTTCTTGGATCATTTTTGAGCTTAATCCATCTTAATGTGTTAATTCATCCTATTTCAAGGTTGTTTTCAGATGACTTTAACATCAATTTTCATTGTCTAGAAACACCTTTCCATGTTATTTAAAAAAAATTTATTTTAAAATTTCTCACATTTATTAACATTTAGGTATTCATCTACTCTACCATTTTATAGTTCAGCCATATCTGTTTTCATTATTCTACTGATCTTGATTAATATGACACAAAGTAGGTACATTAGTTGTAAATTATTATTACTATTGTTTCTAGGTTATAAGCAACTGGAGCGTAGGTTTCTACGCTTTTTATTCTTGCTTTAATCAAATTTAATAGTGAGAAAAATTATATGAAAAGTGTTTATGTTCGTAATCAGTATATTTCCTTAAAGCTCTATTACCTATCCAACTTAATATTCTGTTTTGAACAATATGGCACAATATTTTGTTGAACATAAAGTACCCACTAGACAAAACACTTTAAATTCAATTAGAAAGCCAATCTTAGTTAAATAGTCATCTTGTCTGCTGTGTTATTTGGATCACTTTCATTTATATTATTCTAGGTTTTTTTAGACGAACTTTAGTCCATAAACAATAGACTGTAGGTAACTCTTAGTTGGTCTTTTTGTTATATAATTTACAATAGAAATTTCGGATTACTCTTTTCTTCTAGCTAATGAAGAATTGGTTTTTACGAACCATTTCTTGATTAAAGCATTTAGCTTTGGACTCTTGAAGTTTAGTTTTGAATAAACGACGGGTGAGAATTAATAATTATATCTCATGAGAACATTCAAATGAATAATCACAAAGTTGACTGTTGTGTAGATTCCATTCTTGCCTCAATAATCAAACGTGATAAATTGCCTCTAAAATGTTAGTGATTTGAATTTTTTGTAACGACAGTGAATAATCCTACAGATCAAGGTTATCTCTAATATTCTTGACCGTTAAACAGTATACGTAACTAAATACACAACGAAATATTCTAAATATCACACACATAGTCAATGAATTGTATTCTTCTTCTATTCCGGTAGAACCAAAATTATATTAAAAACTTATGACAGGTAATTATAGACTGAAATAAATATTTAAAATACACAATCTTTTATGAATATCAGTAGCCTCTTAGTAAATTTTTCTTAGTAAAAAATTTCATTAGTTCATTGGTGCCGAACAATTCTTTTACTAAGTTAAAAGTGTTTAATGGCTGACAGTAAATGGATGATAATATTCTATTGAATAACGTAGTTCTTTGAAAGGATATTCTTACAGCTGTATTGATCATTTCCAATAAGGCTAATAATATACATAATTAATTTGGATATTCAGGTTTTCGTAAATCAATATTTTCAGTTTATTCATTAATTAAATTTTTTACGTAGTTTCCAAAACTTTTGAAAAAAATAGAATAAATTTGTTTCTGTTGGGGAGATTCAGAAAATTCATCGAAAAAATGCCAAAAACGTCTTTGAAAACTCTGAGAAACCCCTTATTCAAACTGCATTCAATAGACATTTTGCCAGAAACATCTAGAAAAAAAAGTCACAGTTCGTGTTTCTGATTGGATGATTACTTATATTGCTACTATGTTTAGTAGCGTTTCAGAATTTCCCGGAAGCCCAAGGCCATCTAAAATGTTATAAATGCCCTAGATTTTCTGAACACGAACGAACCTTGGAGTAATGCGTTTCTTCCCTATTTCACGCCTTTTCTCTCGTGTTCAGGTTACTGTGTAGATTTAGTCTGGGGGTTAATAGAAGTGTTTAGGGACCGAATCTAGCGTTCACTTAGAAGACTTATCAGTTTCAATTTTGACCAGGTCTCTCAGAAAACTAATCATAGTTTTTACTGATTTGTGCTTTTTTTTAATGACTTTCTCTCACACTTTATTTACACAACCTAGCTAGGCAGATATTGTGGACGTCGAGACTTAAAAAGTATTGGTCATTACAATTATACTACTGTTAAGCAGTTTAAATTATTGAAGTAAATCTCGCACTTACTAATTTTGGTGTAAATATATTATCAAACAACTAACTTTAAACTTTAAATTACCTTTCTGAAATGTGGCCGTAAATCCTTGTTTTTCTACTGAGCTATCTGATACAAATTTTACATACATCACATTATTGGTTGATTTAATTGGAGTGGGTAGATGTGATCCACATAGTTTTTTCAGCAGTGGGGATGTATCTTTTAAACCATCACGTACCTCTAGGTAGTCGTATACACAGGTATCATGTTTTTCTAGCTGTGAATTATCATTTTAGAAAATGAAAAGATCAACAATCCAGGTTATGAATGCTTAACTCGAGAAAAAAAAAGAATTTAACAAACCAGCTGAAAATGAACATTTATTTGATCTGTTCACTTATAAGCCAACAGGTATCGAACTAGAACATAGATCCAAAAATAAGCTATCCTCAGATTTTCATCATCCGTTGACTTGATGATATAGAACACATTTACTGCGTGACAAACAGGTTAATTGGACCCTTTTGATTACATTTTTCTATTTTTTTTTAAACATCAGCGACAAATAATCAATTTAATGTGTCTACAAAAGTCTCTGTAGTTGTGTAGTTCTACGATTAGCGTTGTACCGTAAACAATGTTTGCGATGAACTCTAATGATCCGTCTATGAAAAATCAACCTCAGAAAACATTTAGGTTACAAGTAATATTTGCAGACCTAAATATAAATATTTGTCATCATATCAATGTTTATAGATTATCATTCATACAAAGCCAGTTAAGGATCCCTGTATTACAACCTTACTAAAAAAGGGTCAATTGTTTTGTTGTTGTTAAAATAGCTTTTCATGCACTGAAAACATCTAACCCGAAACTTCAGGTTGTAATATGTAAAAAAACAAATGACTGAACACTATTTAAATCTACACTGGGTGCTGCAACATAAAACATACAAAGAATTTCTTAATCATAGACTTTTAACTCACCTGAAATGAATGAAATATCAATGCAACAGAATAACCAACGGGAACAATAATTTGCCAAACACACTCCTTACTTGGTCGATAAAATTCAGGGTAATTTGGACTTGTTAGTGTCCCTTCTTCCATTTGTAATTCTCCACCACATATAGCTAAAGGGGAAATATTTATGAATGTGTAAACTTCAGAGCACTTTTTCTACACATTTTATTTGAAATCTTAAGAAGTAATAAACTAGAATAAGTGAATTGATGGTTTTATGTGAATTTTAGTGCTCTTCCTATCGGAGCCATGAAGTTTCTGAAACCTCGTATTGATACTTACATGAAGAATTCCTGTTAAGGCTACAGCTAAAATTTATTTATTAGCAAGTGTTATTAATATTGCTGAAATTCATGAATATTTACCTTACATCAGAAGACACAACTTCCAATTAAACTTCAGATTTTTCATCAAAGAATTCAAAGCAATAAAGAGAATTTCAAATGGGTAACATCATTCATGATTCAAATGCATAAACTTAAGAAATATGAGTTGGAAAATAGCGTTCAAAATAATTAGGATATTTTAAGTAAATGAAAAGCACAGTATTAAATAATTTAATTATCACCTTCATAATCAGCGATAAAACCTGTAGTCATACTCCCAGCAGATCTTCTATATTCTAACCAAAGACGTGACCCAGTTGAAATTAACTGCGGAGGTAAATTTTGACCACAGTAACGACCTAAATAAAGATCAGAATAAAAACTGAAAAATAAGAATATTGTATACAAATTTATAATAGCACACTACTGTTGGATGCGCACTGCTGAGGAGTCCCACAATAGGATGAAGCGGACGTCCAATGCTTCCAGGTTTCCAACGGTGGTCTAATATCAATCGGTTCATGATCTCAATCAAAAAAATTAATAATCTCCACAACCCCTATACTGATAACTAACATGTGCCCACTAGTGACTAGCTTCGTGAGGGAATTCTTGGAGTTCTAGTGAGAAGCCGTGACCAGTTGAGCTAATAATCAGTGTCGGGTAGAGATGGGTATCTACCTCAGCACAATGAAAGACGGTCGCACAGTTTCGTGGATTGGTTGGTGTTAAACACTAACACCACTGGATGCCGGTCAGCTAAGTGGCCCAGTAGTTTAAGCGTTCGCGCGCAAGACTGAAGCCCCTGGGTTCGAATCCCGCGAGCGGGATCGTGGATGCGTACTGCTGAGGAGTCCCGCAATAGGACGGAACGGCCGTCCAGTGCTTCCAGGTTTTCAGTGGTGGTCTAACATCAACCGGTTCATGATCTCAATCAAAAATCTATAAGAAACAACAACATGTAAGCAAATCTATTTTTGATTTAATTCATGCGGAAAAAGCTGTGAATAATAAGCGTTGAATATTAATGAAATACGTGTTTCTCATATTACCGATGGCTTATATTCTAAATGAACATTATTTGAACTTATGTCTTATGAATGAAGTATAATCACCTTTCTAACTTTTATCAAAAACTTCATTTTTTAATAGGAGATTTTAACTTATAAAGAAATTTCTTGGTATATAATCAGGTTATTAAAGTTTAGTAAAAAGGTATTAGTAATCAGAAATATTGTGGTTAACTGGCAAATATTAATGATTAAATTGAAGTGTATGTTTCATTTGAAGATTCATCCTTATGTCTTATTGAAAAAATGCTTAAAACTAGATTTAAACACAATGGTCAAAGATAATGATTCACTTAATTATGAAATTACACTATATAATTTAATACAAAAACTTTGATTAGAGTCAATGGTTAAAGTCTGAATCTTCTAACAAACAATTTTATATGCTGAATTGGTTGAAGTTAGACATTAACACTGTTGGATGCCAGCTCAGTGGTCTAGTGGTTAAGCGCTCGCGCGCGAGACTGATAGGTCATGGGTTCCAAGTTTTTTATGGTGGTCTAGCATCAATTGACTCATGATCTCAACCATTGAAATTACTATAATATCCACAAAAGCCCTTCTGATATAAATTCTATATGGATCTATGTTAAAGTTGAGTTAATATCAAATGATAAGTATTGTTTTATATTTGAAATGGAAACCTGTTAGTCCTGTGAAATGAAGTGAATTATTTCTATGGTAAATTCAATTTATCAATATAATTGATAAGATAGTTTCACATTAAAATGAAAAAAATAATAAGTTGTTTTATGAAAATGCATTTATGACTTAAATTACGTGATTATTGACAATTATCATAGCCAAAGTAGCTCACACAATGTCATAACATGATTGGTTCAAATCTTGAAAAGAAATTCAATTCTCTCTCATGATTACAGATACAGTATACTGATCAATGATAACTAACTTAAAATTTGAATCCAAGAATTTTTGTCAATCCATTCAACCTTATAATACATACAGTGTGGTTTTGAGCCATTTTGCCTAATCATTGAATGGCAACTTGACTCATGGAACTTTAACATCACTAATAAGTAGATTAGATAATATTGGTTACTACTGAGTAATTAGTTAGTAAGAGGGATGATAAATTGTTTGTCTCTTATGTAAATATTCGTTTAAAAAGGTTAACTTACCAATTAATGGTGAACCAGAATAATATCCATCTCTTATTTCTACATAATCATTAATACATGAGATACGATTGATACTTTTTTGATTTAATTCATATGCTTTATGTAAATTATTTAAATTATTTGGTGTATGTATAGAATCCTGTGTTATCGGTCCAGATATATCCATGTGTGTAAAATTTAAACGTATCCGTTCACCTGATGCAGCATTTATTCTCCATTGACAAAGTATAGGACTAGCTGATGTGAAACCTAAAGTAGATGATGAACCTGTTTTTGATAGTTTAGATAAACGACTCATTGCTATCAATGGAACTTCTTCATTATTGAATGATCCTTTAAATGGATTATATGGAAGTGTTTTTAACTGATAATTATTATCATTGACCATACCGATTAAACTATGATCTTCACCACCATCAATTGTATTACCATTTGTTAATGATCGATAAGGATGATACATATTCTCGTTATCATCTGGTAAAAGATGATCAACTGATATAGCATTTCCTAGTTGAATTGATTGCTCTAAACCTATCGGGTCCGGAAATAATGAAGAGTTGGCATTACCACCGAAACGATCTTCTAATTTCCATGCCATTTGTGGTGAAGACAAACTTCCTACTGGTTCTAAAAGTGTACGACCACATGCTGAAATGTAGCGAAAAATATTTCATTTAAATAAATGAACGAAATGGCACCAAAATAAATAAAATGAACTCTAATGTGTAACAAATAAAAGAAAATGAATATTTTGACTTGTTAATGTTAATATTAACATAATACATAAAACCTAACTTGAATATTTTGAGTACCGATAGACAACAGAAACCTTTTACTAGTTAAATTGAATTGGTTTTATAGTTTTATTAGCAGAACCTACATACTGTAGCAAACTTACGAAACAAAACAGTTAAGTAACAGCCATTTTACTCTAACGAGTGATATTGGTTTGTTATTCGATTGTAAAACGTAGATTTTGAAGTCAAATTACATTCATGTTAACAATGAGGGTAACCCTGAAACTAAACGGAAAAACAATTTTAATATTTATTTGGGTGGTTTGAAGGGATAAATTTGATTTGCTGATAATCTTATTTACGAATTGATATAATCTGGACATTATCTTCACTCAAGACTCCTTAGTAGTACAAATCTACGGCACCACATAAAGTCGAACTTCTGGTCTCCAGATATTATGTCAGTCACAACACATTTAGACTAATGCATTGAAATCCGGTCGTTTACATTTCCACATATAGTCAACTTACAATGTAAAGAGCCAATCATTTAGTGTAGTCGACAACTGGTTCTTTCATAATATTATTGAGTTCTGTTGATTACAGCTTCTCAATAGACCATGGTGAAAACTATCTTCAAATTGAACTTCTCTCTACAAATGACATAATCTAACAATAATGTACTCAAAAATAAGTAGCTTTGAAATAGTTTTCGAAGTTCATATTAAAATACATCGCTCATAGCGTTCAAAAATATTATCTAGTGACTGAATAGCATATCATTAGTCTAAATTTATCATCCACACTAAAAGACCCAAATTTTCTGAATATTATCCAGTGTAAAGTCTGTGTGTGGCGCTGTTAAAGTTTTAAACTGAGGAGAACTAATGTTTACCAATTCGTGCTTTTAGAAAGGTCTCCAATTAATATCAATTTCAAATGGTCTTACAATCAAATTTATCCCATGAAACTATCCAAATAAACATGATAATTTTTGTTCTGTTTATTTTCAATATTCGGTTTGTAAAAGTAGTGTAACAATTTACCTTGGTCCTAGTCTCTAAGTACCAAAGCATATAGGTTGGAGAATATTGGTCGGCGGCCTATGCTCCATTCGGAGTAACAGGCGTAAGTAAGTAAACCAAAGCAAATAAATAAACTGTTGCTTATTTCATTAGATGAACTTTACTATTATTACTACTGAGTATTTCAAGAAAATCTCTTCTCTTTGAAAGATAATCAAACAATTAACGTAGTTATACAGCTCTCGTCAATATATACATAATATATCAAATGGAGGTTGCTTCAAATCATTTTAACGGTGGCTTATTAACATTTGTGAAGCTTCGTAGGAGAAAAGCTGGAAATTCTGAAGTAAAAACGCAGAGTTACGTGAGAAATTCAATTAGAAATATGAACATTTTCAGCATGAATGTCTGGATTAGAAAGAGGAAAAGAGTACTAACAAGCTATTGAATACACTAGAAGAATGGTATCAAATTTACAATAAACCTCAATATAGACAGAAATAACATACAACTCCTTTGGACACAGTACCAAATAAAACCATATGAAACATAAATTGTTTGAGGAAATATTTATACCGGACGCCTGGATAATCTAGTTTAAATAGGGAGAAATATTCAAACGGGATATACTATTATTGTATTTGGTTTGTATACCGAACACTTTAATTACCATCAAAACATATGTAGTAGTGAAATTTTCCCTAAAGTTTTGGATAGCTTTAAAATAGCCTCTATTATGAAATAGTGTTAATCAAAGAATCATTAAAAAAACAGAAACCATTGATCAGCTGCTACATTGTTGTTTAGGAACTTTTTAGTAGTTCTAACTTATGACACTACACATGATGCACTTCATGACCTTTAGATGTCTCGACCAATGTTATATCGTCATTTTTATATACTTTTAATATCTTCCAAAATTAATGTCAATAGTTATAACAATTGATGGAGTGGGCAGTTGAATTAGCTAAAATGACAGAAAAAATCCTACAACTTAGAGGTAATGCTCATTATAAACTGGTAACAGATGATCAATCATTGTAGATTGTAGAATAATCTATAGTTGTTTACTTTTATTCTTAAATCCCTTGGAAACCGGCAATTCCAAATTTACGTGACACAAAACTAAGTAATTTGGGATCCCACACACAATAATGGGAAACAAAGTCAGATGAATATAGTACTGTGATTTCTGATATAAAGTTCTGTATAAAAATAGAAATAGTCTCATAGAAGGACAAAACAGTTATCCACCCATCTTTAGTTTGCAGTGGTTTATTCGCACTTTGTTAGCTCATGATACAAACTAGTTTTAGACTGAACGGTCTTTACAGAATGCCCATTTTAACAGAAACAATAACATGTTATCATAAATGTAAATAATTACCTGGACATAAATAAAGTTTATTCGTTTGTCGAATATCACCAGGACTTAACTGAATACGTTGACCAATTGGTGGTCGTGGACAACAAGCTTTTGGTCTAATTGTTTCATCTTTATTCGCTTTAGCAAATGTTCCTTTAGCGTAATGCATAATAGAACTATAGTCATATGGTTCACCAAGAGAGTTCACTTCACCTGGGTCCATTTTTTTAAAATTAAAATCTTGTCCTTCAACAACATTATCGAGTAGAATATCTACATGTTCTGTAAGAAATGTAGAAGGAAATATTTTTGATAATTTTAAAGAATTATTGAAGTATAAATTTAAAGATTGGAAATTCTTGTCTTAGTAAATTATCTAAAGGTATTAGGTAACAGATTATATTCGTTCTTCTGATACCTGAGACAAACATTCTTTATCGATTTCAGTTTGATCCTGTAACTCATTTGCCAAGTAGGGGTTTCAAGATTAGGTTGCATGTCACGTTGTTATACATGAGACTTAATGACAGTACTCATTTACCTTGACGAATATAGTTGAAGTTGGGCTCGAAACTCCGACTCAGCTGTCGGAAGTCGTATAAAGTCTGTAGCAGTAAGACTGTAAAAAAACCTAGAAACACTAAATTAAATAAACAAATACAGACAAGTGAGATAGCCTACTTACAGAGTGGGATCTGTGGTTATAAATAAGCGATGTGGAATATTACACATTGTTTGTTCAGAGTCTTCAAGAAGTATCTGAATTATTGATCAGACTATTCTTGTTTAATCCAAGCATTTCTAAAGGTTGCGCGCGTGATAATGAAATAACTTACCATCTATGTCAAATAGGGCGTTATTTGGAACCAATTTTGAACTGTTACTCTATCTGTCGTACGGAGCTGAAATTTAGAGAAGTTTTATTATCATCATCAAAAAGTACGGGTATTTATAAACAACCTTCTAAGCAAGATACTCCAGATCCGTCGGATACCACCAGCAGTAACATGATGTGACAGGGAACGAATTAGCTTCTAGATGAAGAAGAAATTAGGAAAAAGCGCTGGAGGTGGATTGGACACATATTGTGGAAATAATCAAGCGGTAAAACGAGCCAAGCCCTAACGTAGAATCCTCAAGATGGAAGAGAAGAAGGCGGACCAAAGAACACAGTGCTCTGGGAACTGAGGCAAGCATCATAAGAATGAATAAGACATGGAGACAGTTGGAAAAAAGAATCCAGAACAGAGTTGGTTGAAAAGTCCTGGTAGGTGGCTTTCGCGAGGGGTAACAGGTGTAAGTAAGCGAACTCAACATTTGGTAGTTAACTCTTATAAAATAGTTGTTTGTTATCCCTTCATGTAAAAGAATATACTACAAAACTATTGACACCACTTCTTTGAAGAACTGACGACTTTTAATGTCCTCAAATTAAGTGAATACTAAACAAAACAATAAGGTGTTTCCTATTGTAGGTCATAATTGAAGATTTGAAATTAAAGGATTTTTAAACATTTGAACTATTGTGGATTTATTTTTATTTAGAATGTACAATTAGTCCAAAACAACAAACTGGAACTAGTAGGAAACCACAGAAATACCACCTAAAGTGAAAACGAAGTCAGTCAGTATTAGACTATGGACCAAAATTACTGTCATTATCTCATGATCTATCTTTGTGATAGTTTTATGCTTAGAAATTAATAAATACTAAATATAGTATAGGGAAAACATTCAAGGTTATGTTAATTAGTCACTGGATCTGAAGACTTGACTTACCATCTCGATCAGGTCTAGTGTGTTCATGCCAAAACCCAATCACATGACCAAGTTCATGAATTACTATTCCTTTCTTGTCACAATTTTTCCCGATTGATATAGCTTGTGGTTCATCTTCGCTACGTCGTCCCACGTATGAACAACACCTATTATTATTTTTTAAAAATGTAAATAATAATGAGTACTTTAGAAGAAATAATACTTTACAGTAACTTTCTAAGAAAATTCAAAACCGCAGATGCGCACTGCTGAGAAGTCTCATACTAGGACGAAACAGCCATCCAGTACTTCCTGTTTTCAATGGTGGTCTAGCTTAGATTGACTCCTGAATTCAACTAGATTATATCTTGAAGCTATGATTGTTTTTGTGTTACTGGTTATTAGTAAGTAGTATGATTCATTTGTTTTGATTTTGTCACATCTAGAATGATATATCATCAATGACAGTTCGAGTAAGGAAAGCTAACTTTGGTTTCTTAAGACTTTAGTTTGCTGTTCATAGTCATATCCTAATAGACTAAATCTTCCATATCATTGACATTAGTGTTCATAGATCAGAAAACTGATCATACAAAAAGTGAACGCTCGCATAATTATGAACAGGAAGTAAAAAAATTATTCTATTTGTAATGAGACTAATGAATTTCATGAACAGTAGTGACCATAGACAGGTTACCAAAGGAGACATAATTCATACACTTAGTATCTGACTTCACAACGTGGTCGCATTAGTAAGGATTCATTGTTTAACTTGATCAATTATAAACGTGATCAAATAAATTAACCTACATCTTAATCTTATATCCAAAAAACCCACACTATGTTGATATTCAAAGTTGGCTATATTCATTTGGAATTATGCATAACCGAACAGTAAAAATGAACACGAAACATTAGTGTTTTGAAGAAGCAGAACTATTAATCACACAATCTCATTAAGACTTCAATAGATCAAAATTGCTGCAGCCAAAAACAGTATCCTTCAAAATAATTATAAAGTTAATCAAGTAATGCCTTTGATATGCCGAGCTGGAAAATGACTGGAGAACGTGTGAATGTGTCGACAAAAGCCCCTATGAATTCTTGATGAGCAGTAATGTAAGCGAAGCAGTGGCAGTCTTTCATGATCCACCCAGTGATCCAGAAATGTCCATTTCAGAGACATCCCCTGTCGTGTGTTTAAATCCCATTGCCCCCGAAACACCATGTTCAAACACTGACTTGTCCAGCTCACAGACAGACGACGTCTTATTGAATGCTCATGAAATTATTGCAGTACCCTCCCACAAAGAAACAGAAAATGAATCAAGCAGCATAATAAACACAGTTGCATTATATGGAACTCATCATTCTACGACAAGAGTTTCTGATGCATGTACTTATTGGGGTTCTCTAGTTGTATTACCAGATATGAGTTATCTTAATGACTCACATGCTTTTGATCAAATTTCTTGCAAAAATGAGAAGGATTTGTCGGATGCATCAAACGATGACCAAGAACCTAGTAAAATTTTGATAGATACTGATTATTCTAGTGAACGATTATCTACTAATGAGATTTTCAAGAGATCTGATGAAAATGTTTCACAAGAATCAAACATTAATGACTTCATATCTAGTGTCGTTGATCCTCACCATCTAGTCAATTCTAGTGGACTCTCTACTCAATGCGAGAAATATATTTTAAATAGAGTCACACTAACTGTAACTTGGGAATATGAGGATCCAACATTATTTCGTGGGGGAAGATAAAGTCATAAAATTTAAAAATAGATCTCAACATGGAGTCTTCAAAAAAAGAAGGGGAGGTGATATGATGGAAAGAAAGTCAATTTTCGATTGATTTACTCATTATGAGTTTTATTCAACATTACCTCTGTTTTGATTTAATGTAATGATTACTCAATGTATTATTTGTTTTCTTTTCTCGTATGATATTTTATTCTGTATAATATACGATATTCTTGTATTCAATTGACATGAACTATGCTCTATATGTGATTTGTGATAACTGAGTATTTTTCATGCATGTGATTTCATTCTAATTATTAATAAAAATGGGTGTACAATCAATATATAAATGAGTGTATTTTCGGCTAAGGTTGTCGTCGTCATCATAGTGTTTGGGGCTAATAAAACTTCGCTTATACCAGTCTAGTGGTCTTACTTTCGCGTCGTGGGAATTGTGGAGGTCCCCTTTCGTTCCCAGCATAAGTAGTCAGCGATTCCGACGTAAAATTAGCGACGACCAGATACAAAAAGTAGCATTCGATTCGAACACAAGACATAACAGCCTTCTTCAATATTATCTACATAATTATATCATCAATGCATAATTTGTGGAAACCAATTTTTACGGATACAAAATTTGTTTAAACAAATTAGACAAATTATTAATTCACAATCGGTTGCATTTGTCTAACTATTCACTAAAATCTTCAGTTTCTGAAGCTATAAACGTACAATTAAATTGACTCTCAAATCTAAATCTTTTTCTCCCACTTTAAACACTTACCCACATGCCTTTTCAGTGAAGATTATATAGGATCTGTGATGTGGTTGCCTTTCAACAAAGCTAAGACAGGTATAATTTTCCCAATGTCTCATAGCTTTCATAATCGTAGCTTTAGTTTCACCTAAAAAGCAAATAAATTAAAAGGATTTCAGGACAGCATCTGTAACCATTTTATAGAATTTAAGTTTCATCAATCTCTTTAGCGTATCTAAGGTTTATTCGTTAAAAACAAATGCAGTTTGTTAAAAAAAGGAAGTCATTCACCTCAAAAACTGGAATTGAATTAAACGTTATCTGTTTTCAGCTTCCCTAAACATTTTGTTTATCGACATTTGGCTACTTTCAATAAGTATAAGTAGCGCAAATAACATAACCGAATTCAATATACATATTTTTGCATTATTATTACAAATATCTGATATAACAGATTAACTATTCAGGTATCAATGTAAAGTCGAATATTTTTCTCTGCCACATATTCGAATAGCGAATTCCTCACGGAGGACAGACAAATCAGCAAGTTTTTGAACTATTCAATAGCTGTTCAGTACTAATACTTCCACTGCATATGAACTTAGTAAAGCCATCTGCAGAAGTATCGAGGTATCATCTCATGAATTACTACTACTAACTAGTGACAGAGTATAGTATTGAACAACTAAATTTAATAAATTATTTCCTACATTTTTGAATAGTACACATTCGTTCCATTTCAGTTCGTTAAATAGTGAAATAGTTCTTCTAAATCAGTAATCTCTTATTCAAAATATGGTAAGGTTTGATATTATTTCAAATACTATGGCTAGCTAAAATTCATGAGCTCAGTCAATGGATTTATATCTTCAAAGTGCTTGAAATGATCAGAAGTAAAAATATTGGTCTAAATCATCCCGGTTTAATAAAAAGTCACCGAGAATTTGTCAGTGACATGAACTTAACCTGTAACAATTAATTTTATAATGTGACTTAATCGAACAGATGAACTATGCTATTCTTTCAATTTATTTTACAACCCATAGATTCTCCTTTGTTAGTTGCCCACGTGTAATCATGATCTTGGTTTATACATGCATGTATAATAATGCCTATGTGTTTCTCTCTTTTTTGTATTTTTTAAATAACATAAAAACTGAATCACCTTATTATTCTCCGAGTCAGTGTATTACCGTGTCCCGATGATTTATACAGTCGCTGTGTCTTTTGTCGATTTTCTGCCGTTCAGTATTAACGTGTCCAAAATATAAGTATCCTAAATACCAATTTCTTGGCTTTTGATATACTGTGTTAAGTCGTTATCGACTTCATTTTCCCTGCTGCTTTTAATGAAATTGTCAAAGTTAAGCATATGGATTAAAAGAAAGTTAAATTTACTTGAAAAATTTGCTTGTATAATGTATGGAATAACTCCGTTTGTCCATGTTCTTGAAACATAAGCTGTAGCTGCTCTTTTAGACCTTCTTTTACCTTGAGAAAACTCTTTCTTTTTTCCTTGTTCAGGAGTAAACATTAATATGTCAGCTTTCTGTTGATATAATTTGTTTAACTGAATAAAAGCTTGTGTTTTGGCCTTAAGTTGGCTATCTCTTCGACGTTTAAGTAACTCATTCCTTCTTCTGTGCCAGCTTTGGTCAAACTTTTTTGATAGCTCCCTTCGTCTACTTGTTAGATTTTTGAGTTTTTGTGGAAGAATTCTGTCTGCCATATCTTTGTAATTTTGAATATGCTTTTGTTTCAAATGACGTGAGTTGCCAACTAAACGAGTGCTGAATATTTAAAAAAATGTTAAAGATATATAGCGGATATGTTTGTAATGATGCTTCTTATGTACGTCCCATTTATGATTTTCCAAGAAAAAACATGATCAGTACTAAGATTTCTTTTGGACAGATAATAGAAATCTTTTGATGTAAATGTCAGAAAACGTGCTTGCGGAAACTCAGTATAGATTAAATGAAGTCATATTTCTAGAAAGGAAAGTATCAACGATTTGGATTGAAATCACGAACCGATTGATGACAGACCACCACTGAAAACCTGGAAGCATTGGACGGCCGTTTCGTCCTATTGTGGGACTCCTCGGCAGTACGCATCCACGATCCCGCTCGCGGGACTCGAACTCAGCACCTTCAGTCCCGCGCGAGATCGCTAACACAAAACACTGACATAAGACACTGAAAAAACGAAGATGAAACTACTGCGATAAATTTGACAGTATTTACAGTTAAGAAACCAAGCCGATTAAAAATCATCATGTTTTTGATATTGAAGCAAATTTAATAAATACCAGCGATTCTTTTTTCATAGTTAAATGTGATCTCAAGCATAAATCTGATTTGACGAATTAAAAAGAAAATCCAACGGTATCTAAAAGTTCCTTATATAATTATATGCAAAAAGTGAACCAACCTAATACTTTCATAAAACATTTTTCTACAAAAGTAAATTGTCTTGACTCTATATTTTGCAAAGTAGCGTTGAGAGTTTAGTGATCTATACGGATGGATAGAAATCCTATTAGTAATTAATCTCGTTCTAGGAAATTACTTACAGTTACCTCCACAGAATATTCCAAAAAAGAATATGTAACTGAACAGTTGTTGTTTTTAGTAACTTTATCAAGTCATTTAATTATAAATCCATAATCGTTTTGGTGTAATGCTCGAAATGTCACGTATGAATATAATTAGAGAGGGGTTTTGTGGATAGTTTAGTAAATTAATAGTTGAATTCATGATTCGATTGAAACTAGACCACCATGGAAAACCTGAAAGCACTGTACAGCCTTTTCATCCTAGTATGAAACTCCTCATCAGTGCGAATCTCACGAGGCACATATGAATAATTAAACCGAATAATGTTATATGTTAAAATTGTAAACTTTTGCATCATTTAGAGTTTAAATTTATCTAGAATTTGTCAACTGTAAACTTAAAATATCATTTCGGAAAAGTAGCCGGAAAACCCTTTGTAAGTTCTCGGGTTCCAACCGATTTGGTAAAATAAACCATCTGAATAGAATGTCTGATAATTAAGTTATAGTAAACAGTTGTTCACACAAATATCCTTTATTATAATTATCCATATTATAACTTCGTTTTTGTAAAGTTGCATACTTGGTATTACCCATTAAGCTGTTAAACCATAAGATATTTAACAATGACTAAACCATTTGATAATAAACTCTAATTATTGATTTTTCATTCCATTCAAAAATCACTAGGTATCGACTGCATAACCATTTATAGTACGGTGCTTTAAAAAGTGTAACTGATTCTCAACTTCCCTTAATCTTGTTATAATTGCATGGATTTAGATGAGTTCTAATATAACTCGTAGTTTAACAACCGTTTCAAAAGATGTAGTCTTTCCGATTGTTATGAAACTAAATTTCTATATCCGAACATGATTCAAAGTCATATATATATGAAGAGATAAGATATCAAAATATCAACAGTCAAACTCAAGAAACGACATACACAACTTCGTAGACTTGTTTAAGTAGGACAGAAATATTTTATTTTGGATTAATTGCATTATAAAGTTTTGCTATTTGTACAAACAAATATACAAGATATTCTAGTGGACTTGTTTAATTTAAAATATTCTCAATAATATTCTTATTTCTGTAGAATAATCATTTAACACATACGTATTTCATCATTATATAATTAGGATGGTATTGCAGTTTTATCTTATACTATAGGTGTTAACAAAATAGACGTGTCTCAAGAAAGTCATTATATCTTTGAAAACTGTCTCTAAATAGTATTTTGCTAAGGATTTATATAAACTTCTAAGGAGAACTGTAGACATAAAAGGTGTATCAATCAAAACTTTGCTTCCTTTTTTAAAAAGATTTCACCTACTCTCCTCTACTTTATCATCTAGTTCATCCATTATACACTGAAAAAGGATATTAAAGGTCTAGATTTTTTCTTTTCACTTTTTCTATACTTGTCAACTGAGCTAAAGTGGTTTTCCGTATTTATTGATTAGTTGAAGTCAAGTTCGTGGTTGATAAAAACATACACCGAATGTTATATAATAAAATAAATCGTATTCAATCATTTTCAGAAATACATCACAAGCAACTAATCAAATAAAAGTGTGAACATATATCATGTATTTTATTTAATCTAAAGAGAAAGCTTACGATAAGTCGCCAAGTATCAGGAATTCAAATGTATCTTCACCAGAATATTATATATATATATATATATATATATATATATAGTGATGTAAATATATATGATTTTTTTATGAGCGTTTGCATTCCAGTTAAACTATAAAGTCATATGTTTAATTTTCAAGTTCCTTTAGTAGTCTATTAAATGAGAAATATTGGCATTATATATTGGCAATCATATGCAAAGGATTTTCTACAACAACTGTATCTTTTTTTAAAAGTTCTTCGCGTGAAAATTCATTATGCAGTAAAATAAAATGTATTTTCATTTTAGTAAACTAACAGCTATAATGAAACTGATACATGATATTAATTCGAAGAAATCTCATCAATATTATTCAACGCGTAAGACTTTCAATAGTTGAGAGCATGAATCAATTGAAGCTAGACCACTATGGAAAACCCTAGAAGCACTGGACGGCCGTTTAGTTCTATTATGGAATTCGAGCTAAGGACCTATCAGTAAGACTTTGTTTCCTAAAATATTTAACTCACTTTCGCTTGAATTAGTTTTGATATGATCTGAATGGGAAGCTCGTGTAGTGAAATCTAATTGATTCATCTAATATTCGGATAAAATACATGATGATTGAGGTGATATTTAAACCTATTCAACAGATGCTTATCAAAGTTTAGTCAATGGAGAACTGGGACCAACAGATAGAGTCCAAGTTTTATGAAGTAGTTAGCAAAATAACTTTTTATGTTCTCTAATATATTACAGTCTTCATTGCACAAATCTTCATAAGTTTAAAAATAGAAAAAAATCTGTTTGTAACAGCCAGTTAATACCTGGTTTTCTAGTATAAATCTTCATTTGATGTAATTTCATGATAAAAACTATCTTGAGTTTGTAACAAATCTCCACAGATATTTAATTGAAATTACGATAAATAGAATAAGATTTCGGTTATTTAAACTTTGAAATGCCATTTTCATTAATGTTATCACGGCGAGCAAACATATAGTCAAATATTAATCATACTCCATAATATAAACCTCTCCCGTTATCAGTAATACTCCGTCTCCATTTTAATCATTCAGAACATTCCTGAAAGTTTCCAAAAGTTATGTTGTTTCACACATCTTCCATTTCAGAGTAATGTCAGTGACATTTAAGCATAACTTTTGGATTTTTGGAATAAAAAGAACTAACAGAAAGCTGAATCTAAGAGAAAGAATAAGTGATCACACTACGAGCTGCAAACTTTAGGACAATCGCTGTTGTGTGTAGTGACTTACTGTCACATATGTATCAGTATAAAATAAATTTTGGTCATGCAAAGTTCACATTGATCCACTGAACTCATGATAATTTCCAACTACAATCATCAACTGTAACTCATTACAATTGGATTGGTGATTTGTTCAGTGATATCCATAAACAACAACATTCGTAGTGGACAAACTTTCTATTTTATATTTTAGTACAAAATGAGAATATTATCTGTAGTCTTACCTGTTTCATATTTTTTAAATAAAAGTTTGTAGCTCAAAAGTTTAGGCTCTTAAATTTCTTAACAACTTTGTACCGATTCGGCTGTGGCGTGAATTTTTTAAAAACAAATTAATCATCCTAATAATCATGTTTGGCTCGAAAAATAAGAAGCTTCCTTACCCATATTTATTTCATATACACCCTTTAGAATTTTGGAAATACAACATTGATAAGAGAAAAATTATTATGGTAAAGAATAAAGCACCAAAAGTCTTAAAACCTTAATGAAAATAAAAATATAACTTGCACACTGTATAGTGTCCAATTTGTTTTAATTATACACGAGTCATACATACTTTGATTATTAAACATTGATGACTCTTTATTATATACAGTAGACAAGTTGACCATTAGTTTAAATACCAGTTGAAAATTTTCCCTGGTCAAATTGATTACATGCCACTTTTAATAATAACATCCTAGTCACATGAAAAGTTAAAAAAAATAAATGATTTTCTATGATTGTACAACCCCTCCAGATATTTCAATTATTAAATTATATATATATATATATATATATATATACGTGATTTTTAGCTGTTGATTATACTGATTATGATTGTTTGACATTTGAAAAGAAAGAATATATTTTAGTTTTATTGAATCAGATCCCAGATTTTGTTCTCTATAACTTATTCCCTCTTTTCTTTTTTTCTTTTCCATTTTGTTACTCTCCCCCCTCGTGTTTTCAACTGTCCTTTGTTTGAATGTATACATATGTCATTGTGTGTATATGTCCATATGGAATTTACGTATACAGGATTTTTAGTGTGTTTTACTTTATCATTTCTTTCAATTTCCAAAAATGAGATACTTTTCAGATTTTTCCATATTGTGTGGATTTTTAATGTTGTCGTGATGAAAATACAAAATGAAATGTTACAAGACATAACTAATCTAATTAAAATAGAACTCATTTTTCGCTATACCTTATCTATCTTCTACTTATTTCTTTATGGTCGTTTTCGTGACTGTTATTGACTTCAGTTCACTCAATAGAATTCTGGTACTTTATTACTGAAAAATTGACAAAGACGATTAATATATAAACGTATTTGAATCTATTAAAGTTAATGATA